ATGTCGCGATAATTCCCGGATCCGCCATGATGGATAAGGGCAAGGATGTAGATGGGTGATATGACAGTCCTGGTTGGAGGTGGTGTTCTGTCGAAAGAGCAAATTCATTGAAATCTCCAATTACGTCACTTCCGGCAACTTGCCAGCAGAAGATTTGTACGAATCTGCGTTACTGCAGTACATCGGTGTAGAGCTCCTGTGCCTGTGTTCTGTCGAAAGCTCCAATGCATAGAACATCTTCTCTGTGTCATGTGCCGCACTCAGCTGACCAATTATAAGGATCATGTGATGCTTTCAGCGCCTGATCAGGTGAGGTGAATACAATGAACATGGGGGTGATAATATAATACATTATAGAGCATATCTATGTGCAGGGCGGACTGTATGGTATGGATGATATGGTGGCATCGCTACGTTATTACTTATACAAGCCGTGGACGGGGAGAGTGTTCACATCCAAGTACTTGAAACTGAATTTGTCACTTTATCTCTCATCTAGAGCTATCCTCAGCTACTGTAGTGTGAAGGCCTACCTACACCACGGTTCCATTTCTATCCAATCAGGTACCCTCATAACATGGCTGATACATATGGAAGGGATTGTTCAGTCATATATATGGCTGGAGATTGTGCATGTTATGGTGCAAGCTTACGGACATGTTTCTCTTTCAGCATGATGGATGGGGAGGATGTTCAGCCTCTACTGGATCTGTCTCCTACTCAAGACAGACAGACACAGCACGACTCATACCTGAGGTAGGTGGTGCACTGCGTTGTGTGCTCGTGTCAGTCATGGCTACCCACACTGCTATGTTTAGTGTATGCAGACAGCTGAGGATAGTCCGCGGTGCACACTATGATATTGTCATAGAAAGGCACACAAAAACTTAGTGTACGCACCCTAACACTCTCCTATAACAGAAAAGAATAGTCCAGTGTATGCACCCTAACACTGTCATATAACAGAAGAGAATAATAGTGCAGTGTACGCACCCTAACGCTGTCATATAACAGAAGAGAATAGTCCAGTGTATGCACCCTAACACTGTCATATAACAGAAGGGAATAGTCCAGTGTACGCACGCTAACACTCTCATATAACAGAAAAGAATAGTCCAGTGTACGCACCCTAACACTGTCATATAACAGAAGAGAATAATAGTGCAGTGTACGCACCCTAACGCTGTCATATAACAGAAGAGAATAGTCCAGTGTATGCACCCTAACACTGTCATATAACAGAAGGGAATAGTCCAGTGTACGCACCCTAACACTGTCATATAACAGAAGAGAATAGTTCAGTGTACGCACCCTAACACTGTCATATAACAGAAGAGAATAGTCCAGTGTACGCACCCTAATGCTGTCATATAACAGAATAGCCCAGTGTATGCACACTAACACTGTGATATAACAGGAGGGAATAGTCCAGTGTACACACCCTAAGACTGTCATATAACAGGATGGAATAGTCCAGTGTACACACCCTAAGACTGTCATATAACAGGATGGAATAGTCCAGTGTACACACCCTATGACTGTCATATAACAGAAGAAAATAGTCCAGTGTACACACACTAACACTGTGATATAACAGAAGAAAATAGTCCAGTGCACACACACTAACACTGTGATATAACAAAAGGGAATAGTCCAGTGTATGCACACTAACACTGTCATATAACAGAAAAGAATAGTCCAGTGTACACACACTAACACTGCCATATAACAGGAGGGAATAGTCCAGTGTACACACTGTACAGTCCAGTGTACACACTGTCATATAACAGAAGGGAATAGTCCAGTGTATGCACCCTAACACTGTTGTATAACAGAAGGGAATAGTCCAGTGTACGCACCCTAACACTGTTGTATAACAGAAGGGAATAGTCCAGTGTACGCACCCTAACACTGTTGTATAACAGAAGAGAATAGTCCAGTGTACGCACCCTAATGCTGTCATATAACAGAATAGCCCAGTGTATGCACACTAACACTGTGATATAACAGGAGGGAATAGTCCAGTGTACACACTGTACAGTCCAGTGTACACACTGTCATATAACAGAAGGGAATAGTCCAGTGCACGCACTCTGAAGTGCGTCATATAACAGTAGAGAATGGCCCAGTATGCACACTCTGATGTATTCATATAACAGGCGAGAAAACAGTAGTCCAGTGTGTACGCTCTGACGTTGTCATATAACTTGCCTTTCCTCATTTTCCTCCCACAGGAAGGTGCAGAACAAGAATCTGTATTTTGCTACGTTGGCTGCTGTATTGGGTCCTCTGAGCTTTGGTTTTGTCCTGGGTTTCAGCTCTCCAGCCATCTCTAATTTAGAGCATGTAGAGGATCCGCGTTTAATATTGGACAAGAACATGGCATCGTGGTTTGGCGTGAGTGTTTCTTTGTGATGTACATTGCCCATCTCAGGTATGCAAACCGCATAGTTCAGTTCAGTGAGGGAGGACCTGGCAGATCAGCGAGAGGTGAGGGAGGACCTGGCAGATCAGCGAGAGGTGAGGGAGGACCTGGCAGATCAGCGAGAGGTGTGGGCGGACCTGGCAGATCAGCGAGAGGTGAGGGAGGACCTGGCAGATCAGCCAGGTGGGGGAGGAGCTGGCAGGTGAGCCAGAGGTGGGGGATGAGCTGGCAGGTGAGCCAGAGGTGAGAGATTTGTTGATGGATCACTGCGGGTAGGGGGAGTCTAAAGATCTGACAGATCACTTGGGGATGACTGACTGAGCTGACTTGTTTGCTGACTGGTGTATTTGATGAAAATACTGTTTCTGTTTACAGTGTGTTCGCTGCAATTTCTGTGTATTTAGCCCTGTAGACACTGGCGGAACTACCAGGGTCGCAGCGGTTGCAATTGTGACCGGGCCCTGGCGTTCCGAGGAAGAAGAGGGCCAAAATAGTGTATGATGTACATTGCGAGAGGTGAGGGAGGACCTGGCAGATCAGCGAGAGGTGTGGGCGGACCTGGCAGATCAGCGAGAGGTGAGGGAGGACCTGGCAGATCAGCCAGGTGGGGGAGGAGCTGGCAGGTGAGCCAGAGGTGGGGGATGAGCTGGCAGGTGAGCCAGAGGTGAGAGATTTGTTGATGGATCACTGCGGGTAGGGGGAGTCTAAAGATCTGACAGATCACTTGGGGATGACTGACTGAGCTGACTTGTTTGCTGACTGGTGTATTTGATGAAAATACTGTTTCTGTTTACAGTGTGTTCGCTGCAATTTCTGTGTATTTAGCCCTGTAGACACTGGCGGAACTACCAGGGTCGCAGCGGTTGCAATTGTGACCGGGCCCTGGCGTTCCGAGGAAGAAGAGGGCCAAAATAGTGTCGCTCCTTCCCTGACGCACAGCCAGCCGCAGAATGTACAGGCGACTGTGCGGCAAGGCAGGAGATGCTCTCACTCCCGCAGAATGTGCTGCAGGCAGCGCTGGGCAGCAAATTCTGCTGTGTAAGGACCCTCTCATCCTAGCCCCGCCCTCTGGCCGCTAGGGCCCTGCAGGAGAGACGGAAGGTAAGTCTGGAGTGGGAAAGGGGGGTGCTGGTAATATTTTTTATTAAACCACGACTGGTGGTATTCTGCACAGCAATGCAGAATAGCTCCAACTATGCAAGACTACAAGTCCCAGCAATGCATTATAGTGGGAGGGGGCGGGGGGGTGCTGGTTATATTCTGTATAGCAGACTTTTATTATAATGTATTGCTGGGACTTGTAGTCCCGCATAGCTGGTGTAATTCTGCAATGCTGTATAATCATTATACAGCAATGCAGAATAGCACCAACTATGCAGGACTACAAGTCCCAGCAATACATTATATTTTTAAGTATGGATGCACCAGGTGGCAATACTGGGCATTTTCACAAGTACTCATACTCGTGAAAATGCCCCGATACTAAACGCAGATACCGGTGTTCTGTCGAGAACACCGGCCTAGTCGAATTTGCTGACCTCAGCATCTGCGCTTGCACACAGACCAATATTATCGAGGAAACCGGGATTTATTGACAAAATATTTGGTTTCAATTGTTAATTGTGACCGTTAATAATATTCCATCAGTCATTTACTGCCATGCACAGTATATTATTGATGGTCACAATTAACAATTACAAACGAATATTTTGTAAATAAATGTGTTTCCGCATTAATCCCGTCTGTGCGCAAGCGCAGATACTGGGTCGGCGTTCTCGACAGAACACCGGCACTACATTTTTAAACAAGCGGCGGCCTGAGGTCCCGCGCTTGCTGGGGACCTCGGCAGCCTTCCTGTTAACCATGCGGCGCCATGGCTGTTGGGGGGGGCCCTTCATGGTTTCTGGCACCGGGGCCCTGAAGGATCTAGTTACGCCTCTGCCTGTAGATATTTGTGACATTTATCATAAAAGAATGTATAGAGTCAGTTATTTCTTATCACCATGTACTGTATTCGAGGTGGAGAAAGGGGAAGTGCAGCTTCCTCTCATGTGCTTATGGTTCTCCTAAATGAGTGTGAAGGTCACAGATAATGGAGGCATCAGCACCTATCTGACCAGAGTCATATACGTGGCAACATTAGCTATAACCAGCTGCATCTGGCCAGTGTGGTATTATGTCTCAACTGGTCTGTGAATAAATGTTTCTGACACATACAGCAGACACTCCGTGATCTTTTATTGATCCTGATTATTGAATTGCTGATACTGTCACATGTCACCATTACACGGATTAATTATCCGTCAGAGCCAACCAATTCTGATAACTCTCCATTATGTAGTTCCAGTTGGTGCTCTGTTATATTTTGTTTGTAGTATAGTGACTGCACAGCTCATATACTGAACTGGCGATGTCCTCACTGCCTACAGCAAACTAAATTCTGATTAAATGGGTTATAGGATAAGCACCATTCAGCTCACTTGTGTCTTTTTTTAATTCTCTCTTTGGTCAGTCTATTGTCACCATAGGAGCTGCTGTTGGAGGGCTATTTGGAGCATGGATGGTGGATCGGATAGGCCGGAAGGTCAGCCTCGTGATCTGTTCCATACCGTTTGTCTTGGGCTTCACCTTAATTATCTCGGCACAGAGCGTCTGGATGTTACTGGGGGGACGGCTGGTTTCTGGAGTGGCCAGCGGCATCACTTCATTGGTGGTCCCTGTGAGTTTCCTCTCATATCATGTAAAGCAATGTAGACACCTTCATTCAGAAAACAGTAGGTCCCCCTGCACTCCTAACAGCGCTACCGTTCCAAGTGAAAATAGTGGTGCTTGCAGTGACCATCACGGATGGCGCCGTGTACAACAGTCAATGAACAATAGAAATCACCAGCACTCTATTTGGACTAAACGTCACACATCGCATAATCCAACGCTTCGGGAGAGGGCAGAGATGTGACCACATCTCTACCCTGATGAAGGGACCCTGCGTGGTCCCGAAACATTGGATTATGCGATGTGTGACGTTTAGTCCAAATAAATTGACTTTTTTTGAATTTCATTTACGGAGTGCTGGTGATTTCTATTGTTCATTGACCTTCATTCAGAATTCAGGAGGCAGTCTAATGTATAATCTGGTACTGCAGTAGAATATGCTCAGAAAGGTCTGGTACCAACTGCATATGGCCTTCTGTGATTTGTACTCTTTATTAATTCCTGTGTACATAAGCACCTCAAGCTGACACAGGCAAATTTGCCTTTAGAGTAGAGTGGCTTTTACTAAAATATTTGTGGGGGGTTAATGTCAGGAAAGGGCGTTCCAAAAGAACTGCATACACATTTAAATGCTTGCAAAAGAGTTCTCATTATCACACACCATAGAATGATATGAGAAATGAGACAAGGGACCTCTAACGATCCATCCACATTGTGGATCACGGCTGCAGGCATCCTTTACGCAACAGCATAACTGCAGGATGCTGGCTTCTCATTCCCTTCAGAATATGTTTCTGATACCTTGCCAGTCAGCGCTGCTTGTAAGGAAGAGTTTTACTTTAAAACATGATTATTTTAGGAGTGCAAGCTGCTGACATTGAGCAGCCAGGTGTTGGGAGCAACAAGACAGCTAGTGCCATTGTGTAGTAATTATTGTGGATGCATGTCATTGTCAGGAATCCTCCTATCCTATGGATGCATGTCATCTTATCCTATGGCAGAAGTAGCTCTCTCTCATGTACCATCCTTTCTTGTAGGTCTATATTTCTGAGACTTCCCACTCTGGAGTTCGAGGGCTGCTGGGCTCTTGTGTGCAGTTGATGGTGGTCAGTGGAATTGTTGGATCCTACATTGCAGGTATGAGATGGTGGAGGTGGACTGAGGAAAGCCATATTTTGTGTGCCTCATTGTCTGCTGATCTCCTGTAGGAATGTTCCTGGAATGGCGCTGGCTTGCTGTGCTCTGCTCTGTGCCGCCTGTCATCATGGCAGTATTTATGATGTTCATGCCAGAGACGCCACGGTACCTCATCAGCCAGAACCAGAGGGCCAAGGCCTTGTCTGCACTCAGTTTCCTGCGGGGACCAGACGTGGATCATGAATGGGAGTACCGACAGATTGAGTCCGGTGCAGACCAGCAGGTAGATGTCTCTTTGTGATCCATGAAAAATGTTTGTTATTAATGACTGACCTACATATTAATCTACTTTTATGTCTGACCAGGAGGGTGGTCTGAAAATGGCAGATCTCTGGAACCCAGCCATTTATAAGCCATTCCTCATTGGAATTACCCTCATGTTCTTCCAGCAGTTCACTGGCATTAATGCCATTATGTTCTATGCTGACATGATCTTTGAAGAAGCCAATTTTAAGGTGTGTGGTGCCTCCTGGTGTACAGTGATAGGAACCGGCCACACTAAATAGCTCCATGACAACACTGTGTCTCAACATATTTTCCAGAACAGCAGCCTGGCGTCTGTCATTGTAGGCTTGATCCAAGTGGTGTTCACGGCTGTGGCAGCGCTCATCATGGACAGGGCAGGAAGGAAAATTCTACTAATTATTTCAGGTATAAGTTTTATTATGTTTATTATATGGATTGGTTCCTGGATGAGCCAACGCACTGTGTGAGGAGTACTATCTCCAATGAGTCTCTTTATTCAATGTTTATAATGACAATTCATTAAAGGAGAACTATGAGGTGAGTGATTTTCACTCAACCTCATCGTTCAAGCCGACATGTGACAATGAAACTGTCACATGTCGGCTCAATAGATCGGGAAGTGAGCGAGCACATACTGTCGCTCGCTCACTTCTCGATCATCTCCCTGCAGAGAGCGGTGACTGTCACTCACTCTCCATGCAGGGATTTCCCCTGTCTGATCCTCCAGCGCTGACTGGCGGAATGGACGGGTGAGGGCCCGGGTACAGCTGGCTCTGTCTCTAGATAGGCAGTGTCAGCTGTCAATCACGCAGCTGCGTGGATCTCGACAGTAATGTCTGGATCCGTCCCGGCTGCGGCGTCTCAGTATACTGAGCATTGGGTCACGGGAGGACGCTAGTTTGTGTCCTCCCATGACCCTTAGAAGAACTATGGGGAAAAACACTGACCCCATAGTTCTCCTTTAATGGGTGGACCTGATTCACCTGCTTTCAGGTACACAGTGTAAATGACTTTGCTTGGAAGTACAATACTTTGTGTAGACAGAAAGTATTCATATGAAATATTTCATATTTACCAGTTGCAGGCAGTGGTTCTGCCCTGGTAAGCGACTCTCCTTACTTACCCTCCCCCACCACCATTTGATTCTGACGTGACTGGTTGTCCATCTGACATCCTATTTTCTCTTACTTCAGGTACCATAATGGCTGTCAGTGCCACCCTGTTTGGGGTGTATTTTAAAATCATGGAGATGCATGCTCAGAATGCCTCCAATGTTCCGCCTCTGACGGCTATGGCGGAGAGCTCAGGAGAGCAGCTGGCATGGCTGCCCCTGGCCAGTATGGCACTCTTTATTTCTGGTGAGTAATCGCCATTTGGCGTCTGTACTGGATGGTTCACCACAAAAGACGTGCAAAGTGGGAGGAATTGAGGGAAGAATGTCTTCTGATTGGTCTCTCAGTGATCCTTATTGCCTCTTACTCTATGTTTTTTTGCTTTCTACAGGTTTCGCTATTGGCTGGGGTCCCATTCCTTGGCTGGTTATGTCTGAGATCTTCCCTTTGCGTGTAAGGGGTGTGGCCAGTGGAGTGTGTGTTGTTACTAACTGGGGCTGCGCTTTCCTGGTGACAAAGGAGTTTCAGGACATGATGGTATGTTTGCTGCCTGAAAGAATGATCAGAATGTCAAGTGTAGGAACGTTTTACATCCACTTACAGCATGCTGGCTGGCCAAATCCCAGGAGCCAGGTAGCCAATGCCCTCTTCAGATTTACAGTTGGCTCCTAATTTTTAAAGTTTTCTCTAGCTGTTGTCAATAGAGCTGACTCCTAAACAAAATGCTGCTGCCTCCTGAGTTCCATATTATTCCATCCCTGACGTACAGTGTCAGCATCATTGGCAATTGTTCAGTCAGATTAGACTTCTGATGGAGGTACAGATGGAAAGCATGCCCTGCCACTTCATGATTGTAAATGACTTTTATTACCTTTAGTGTATTTTGAGTAGTCTATTAGCTTTAGAACAGAAGGCAATACCACCTTTTTAGAAGATCATTTACAAATAGCTACTTAGTCCATCCCGCTCTTGTACCTTTCTACACCAGCTAGAAGGTGCACAGCCTACGGTGTTACCAACTCAAATCCAAAATGGCCGGCACACAAACCGTTAAGACCTCAGATGTTTCTGAAGTTCAAAATGCAAAAATCGTTTTGCACTTTGCACTTTGTAACTTGGTTTTTTACCTTGGTAAACATCTGAGGTCTTCACTATTTGTGTGCTGGCAATTTTTGCCTTTTCAGGTTTGTATTGCTGCCTGGAGATTCGCGCTCTCTAATTGTCTTGATCACTAATATGTCAAGCAAAACAAATGGCAAACGCACTCATCAATTCGTCACCATCTTTACAGCAAAGTGCACATAGAAGGGCTTTATACAGTAAAACAGCAAAAAGTTTCCCAGCACACCCACCAGCCAGCATGCAAAAAAACTTGTCTCACCGCTAAGGTTACAAACCGAGGTTTAGATACATGTCTTCTGCAGAAAATGTGAAAGCCGCACAGCCGCGCCAAGGCACCTCCTAGATAGTGCGGTCCTAACTCTAAACTGAGAGTCTCCATCTTGGAGCACATGTGGCAAAAGATAGAATTGGGTGAAGGTTTGTCAGGAGCAAGCCCAACCTCCTTAAAGGCACCCAATTTTATCGTTTGCCACATGTGCTCCAAGATGGAAACTCTGATAGTTTAGAGTTAGGACCGCACTACACATAGGGGCCTTGGCGCGGCTGTGCGGCTTTCACATTTTCTGCAGAAGACTTGTATCTAAACCTCTGTTTTTAACCTTAGTAGTGAGGTTTTTTGCATGCTGGCTGGTGAGTGTGCTGGGAAACTTTTTGCTGTTGATCACTAATCTGACTGGGAATGAAAGTGAGGGTAAATCCAAATTACATTTTGAGTTGCCATCAGAACTGGAGGGGGGAGGAAAAATCTTCCAATGGGGGCACTTGTTCCTGTGATAACTGTCTAAGAGGGGATATCCCTCACATTGGCAGGATACTCATTCACTACCCGTTGAGGACACCACAGGAAATAAAATACAATCTCCCTAATGAGACACAGATGGCAAAAAAACAACAACTTGCAGGGCTTTTAGATCTACTTTAAATGAGGTAGCCAAATATTTCCTGCTTAAGTAAAGTCCGGCGATCTCAGTGCTGATGTACAGCACCGCCGGTCACCTAGCACTCTGTTTATCATGTAGAGTTTAAATGACAGTGTCCCCTAATAATCCTCTCTTTTGGCAGGATTCTCTGACCTCCTATGGAACATTCTGGTTATTTGCAGCTTTTTGTGCTCTTAATGTTCTTTTCACGGTTCTTTTTGTCCCGGAGACGAAGGGGAAAAGTCTGGAACAGATTGAGTCACACTTTCAGATTGGACGGGGCCCAGCAAGATTTGGCTCATTCTCCAATACGATTCAGTAACTGACTGTAAATTTGTTACCTGATGGCAGGTGCTGTTATTTTACAATGATGGGATTTATGTCTACTATCAGAAAGGATAGCTGACTTTGTGACAGCCAGTGAAAGACCTATTCCAGACTCCTCAGGAATCAGCTGCTTTGAATCCAAAGGATGGTCTTCTGATCGGTGAAGGCTTGCAGTGGAGTGTACCGTGGCTGCATGTAGCTTTTCTGGGATAAATATCATCAAGTTGATGCAGTAAATGATATAATACTACTGAGATGTACAGCATCAAGACTTCTGATTGGACTACAAATCCACTTTTATGCTCATGACTGGAATAGGCAGTGACATATCAATCAGGCTCCACCCATTCTAAAGAAGAAGGCGTGATTTGACGTTTGAGCTGCTTATTGCAAAGCAAATAATCATGACGGCTATTATCTGGGCGTTGCTTGCCGTCAAGTCTGTGGTGCTGGGTGCTTGTTCTTACCATTTCTTAATTGGTTGTGGATGGCAAGCTGCTTCAGCTGTTTACTGAGGTATACCTGGACTTAAGGTGCCCATACACTGCTCGATTCTCGTACGAGATTTGCTGGAAATCCGGCGATCGTACGAGAATCGAGCAGTGAGAACGGAGACGTGCGACCGTTTCTACTGACTGCAGTATGAGACATGTATGTGATATTCCATGTCTAGAGCATCCCATGTGCTGATCATACAACTGCTGTGTGTATAGCTAAAACTGTATTTGTTCAGGAAATGTTTCTACGACATTTGCACTGTGTGGAATGTTTTTGCTATTTTCAATACCTAAAATGGAACTAGTTCTCTACAGAAAAAGTATGCACACGATGTAAATATATGTATCTTTTATACATAATACATAACCAGTGTTCAAATGTAAGAGTGTTCCAGGAGACAGGTATGATTGTTACAGAAAGGTGTCCCGTCTGAATGGTGATTCCTTCTTGAACCTTTTCTGAGTCTCCATAACATTTTTCTAATGCTGATTGTTACTAAACAGATTATCCCAGGAGCTTGGCTTCTCTGATGTATCATCTTGGAACACAACTTTTCCTGACAGGCGCAGAAAATGAGATATACCTTTCTATGGGCGTCACATTATTCACTTGTTATATGGTACAGGAAGGTTATGATGGTTTGTCAGAAAATGTCATTAAATATCATTAAAGTGTTATCATTTACCTAACTGAACGGATTGTACCTTATGCTGTTGTTGGTCCCTGGTACCTCCATAGTTGTAAAATGTTGCAGAGAAGAAGCCTTGGTGACCTCTGGCAGGACCATTTCCAGTTACCTTCTGGATGGGGCCGCTGGACAAGCTGTATAAAGTTGTTGGTTTTTTTTTTTTCTATTGCCTTGTTTGGCAACAGTGTTCACTGGGCTGTCAAATCACATTTTACAGAAATTCTTTATTTAGCAATTCCTGTGCAACTGACATGTAGTACAGTGGTGAGGAGATGCAAACACAGGACAAAAACATTTTGCTTAGAGACGCAATGACACTCAAGTCTCCCCCTCTACTCCACAACTCTCCCCCTCTACTCCACAACTCTCCCCCTCTACTCCACAACTCTCCCCCTCTACTCCACAACTCTCCCCCTCTACTCCACAACTCTCCCCCTCTGTGTCCTTGTGTGTCACTAATCTACTATCTGACATATCCGTCTGGATGCCACAACACTTCTTAAGACTCAACCTTTCAAAAACTGAGCTCATGATATTTCCTCCCGCTCGTGCACCTTCCCCCAACTTTTCCTTTGAGATTGATAACACAACTATCCAGCCCTCCCCCCCCATGCCAAGGTCCTAGGTGTCGTCCTTGACTCGGACATCACCTTTCTTCCCCACATCCAATCACTATCCAAATCCTGCTGCCTCCACCTTCGTAACATCTCCAAAATACGCTCCTTCCTCACCAAACAAACCGCTAAATTACTCATCCACTTGCTTGTTATCTCTCGTCTTGACTATAGCAACTCCCTCCTCATTGGCCTACCATTGCACAGGCTCCTCCCTCTCCGTCTATCATGAATGCAGCTGCTAGACTCATCCACCTAACCAAACGCTCAGTGTCTGCAACCCCCTCTGTCAACCCCTTCACTGGCTTCCACTCGCCCAAAGGATAAAATTCAAAATATTAACAATGACTCGCAAAGCCATCCACAACTCCACCCCCGGCTATATCTCAAACCTGGTCTCAAAGTAACAACCTAACCGTCCCCTCCGCTCTTCAAAAGACCTCCTACTTTCCTGTTCCCTTGTCAACTCCTCCCATCTCAGGTCTATTCCCGTGAGGTTGGTAATCATTGTTTTAATTGTAGACCAGAAGGTTTGCAGGAGGGGGCACTTCCAAAATGTATGGAGGAGTGTACCTGGTTTGGTGCCACATTTCAAACACAATATTAAGGTTGGTGGCAAACATTTGTGACGGTATGTGGGTACTCTGTACCATCTGATCAAATGTTTAAAGGCCAATTCTTGGATTGTACAGGCTATGGAGGCTTTGTGGGTGAAGTAGATTATTTTGTCTCTGGTTTTGGGAGAAGGAACAGTCCAATTCTGATTCTCATTTGTGGATTTAAGGAGGAGAGAAGTCAGATGCAGCTAAAGTTAACATAGTAGGCTAGAGAGAGTGTGTATTAGAGGGGATCTGTGTCCATGCATAAGGTTTTAATACGGCTATTTTGCATTTGCGAGGGTATACTGGGGACGTACCGAAGTTGTAGGGCTTTCCAGAAGTTATAATTTATGATCACTAACAAAAGACTAGATCAGGGGTAGCCAAATCCGGCCCTCCTGCTGTGGTGGAACGACAAATCCCATGAGGCATTGCAAGATTCTCACAGACATGACTCCCGGAGAGAAATACATCATGGGATTTGTAGTTTCACCACAGCTGGAGGGCCGGAGTTTGGCCACCCCTGGACTAGATCATAGATTCCAGGAAGAAATGAGTGCACACTTCCTCTGGGATACCATTTGGAAGCTATGAGAGGACTGAAAGTGGTATGACCCATGCCCCCTTGTAGCTTAGGTAAGATGAGTAGAGACTGCTTTCATCTATAGTGCCCCATAAGCAGAGAGGTCTTGGTACAGAGGATGTATTTGAAGCAGTATGGTCTGGAAGAGGTACAGTAAATCTGGGAAGCGCATTCATTTTTAGTTTACTGTTTCTTCCAAAGCAAGAGAATATGAATTGATCCCATTTTTGCAGGTCTGGTGAGGAAGGAGGGGGGAGGAGGGCAATCCAAGAAACTCTTGATTTTAATCAGAATTGTATTTATAATCTGAGCTGTGTTTATCTCACATATTGTCTGAAGCACTTCACAGGGTTTTAAATTTCATGTAACGTTATTTTGTTTTCATGAAGTGACTCTACTGTTGGTGGTATTCTGTAAACTAGGGGTGTTTAGTTATAACAACAAAGGCCATTAGTATTATTTCCTTATCTATCCGATAGACTGCTGACACACACTTTCCAAATGTGAAGTCTGTTCCTTTTTACATGTGATGAGTAAAACAATCACTGGGTGGCAGCACTCACAGGCAACTCTGTATCTCTAATCCTATAGCCTGCAGACACACTTGGAGTACACGTTCAGTATTTAATAAAGAACCCCGGGCAAAATTATTATTAACCCCTGCAGTGGGCTACCTCCGAACTGCAAGGGTTAAGTGCTCGTTTTGGTCTAGGGAGCAAAATAAAGTTATACTCGCCCGATTCTCTGAGCCAGCTTGCTCTTACAACAGTTCCTGGAGCCTCTCTCCCCCTCCACTGTAGCAGTATAATGTTCCGTATATCATCACGTCCGATACACAGTGTATAGGGCCTAAGGGACGCCGAAGGACATACCATCGCTGCAGCATAGAAGACGGGCTGGAGGGAGTGCTGTCACAGCTGGCCATCTCTGAGGTTCGGGCGAGTATAACTCTGCTATTTTCCTCCCTAGATCAAAATGAGCACTTAACCCTTGTGGTGCAGGGGTAGCCCCACTGCAAGGGTCAATAGTAATATCCTAACGTTCTGCTTTAAAGAGATCCTCTCACCAATTTAAAAAAATTGCAGGTAAAGCACATAGCAATCAAGTACTTTAAAGTCCTTATTTTCGGCAAGCAATGCGCTTTTGAATGTGCTCCCAAATGTGACGACTTCAGAAGTGTCAATTCCCTAAGTACAGAGCCTGTGCTTAGGGAATTGACTCTTCTGAAGGGATCACATTTGGCAGTAAAGGAAAAGCTGTTTCTACAAAGGTAGATTGCTGCAAGTAAGGATTTTATAATACTTTATTCTTCTGTGCTTCTAAAGGCTATGATGTGCAAGGAGGGAAGGGTCTGTACTATAGTCTTGTGCTCTTCTGGGAATATCTTATTACTCTTTGTGCTGGCTTATCTCCTCCGTCTTTTCCCTCACCTCACTATACACTGAGTGGCCAGATTATTATGACCACCTGACATTTGTAGGCAAATTAGCTATAATTTTGCGATGAAGTTGCTAGAGGGCCAGACCATTATAAATAGGGAAGCAGGTTGTTTACCACGACAGTAGAAGTGATTTTTTTCGGAAGATATGGGTGAACAACGCGATTTAACAGTCTTTGAACGTGGGATGATTGTTGGCGTGAGCCATGGAGCAAAACAGCAGAATTCGTTAAATGTTCAAGAGGGGCTCATTGTTAAAGTGTTTAAAGACTGGACTGTCAGCCGAAAATCTGGGTGTGAACGTGCGAATTGTGGCCGTCAGCGACTAGTCAATGTTAGGGCAGAACGGAGAGTGGCAAGACTGGTACAAGACAACAGAAGGGCAACAGTGCATCAAATGACTGCAGATCTTAATCAGGGATCCTCTCAAATGATCTCTGAACGCACTGTTCCCGTACACTGCATCGTATGGGATATGGAAGCCGAAGGCCTGTTCGAACCCCTTTGCTGTCTGCAGTTAGCAAGATAAAACATCTCCAATTCGCACAGGAACACAAGGATTTGACAGTTGAGCATTGTAAAAAAGTCATGTGGTCCGAGAACTAGTACTGACTTCACTGGCTGCATAATTGTTGCGATTCAGTGAAAGTCCTAAAGCCAGAAGATCAAAATAAGAGACACCTAGCATTTTTAGAAGCAGGTTGGGACTGTCCGCTCCCAGTACTCTGTACTGGTTTTCTTTAGGATGGTAGTGAGTTTTGGTATTCACCGCCATTTAGCCAGTCCCAGCATGCTGGAAGTTGTAGTTACTAGCAGCCGGAGTATATGACAGGTTGTGTATACAAGAGGGCGGTGCTGCTTGTAGTGGGAAGCTGCAGTGAAATGAAAGCATTTTCCCATCACACAATAACACTGCAATCTCTGCACCATCGTTTTATTTACTGATAAAGTGCAAGAAGTCCTGAGACCAAATTTCATAAATATTTATTATATATCCGAACAAAATATCCACCTCCACAGCAGTGACCCCACAGCACTTTAAAATATTGTGGTAATAATTGTTATTTATCAATAATTCAGTATCTATACAGGCCACATCTGAAACACCAAAACATTTACATTATCACTTGGCTTAAAAACAATGAAGTACAATATAGTTTAAGACACTTGGTGGTAATCTTTTTGTTTGTTTTTTTTGTATCACAGAAGTTCAGCAACAGTCTAACAGTACAGAATCAGATACAAAAACCACTGCAAAAAGTTCTGGGAGTGTAAGAAAACAAATAAAAACTGACCCGACAGGGAGAAAAGGTAACAAAAATAAACAGAAAACAAATTGTACAAACCTTGCCAATGTAACATGTTTCCATTCACCAAGTTAAACATTTAATAATAAATAAGTAAATCTGCAAAAAAATATTTTTTTTTTTTCTTTTTGAAATGTTCTCATCAAGGCTCGTCATAGTGTTGGGAGTTCACATTGAGACAGGTAATGGGTGGGGGGAAGGGACATGCAGTTCACAGGGTAGGCCACAGAACAGACGTCACTGGCTTTTATCCAGAAAGTGTCACAACACTGTTTGCAGCGCCCAGGATCATCTGGCCACTTGCTCTGGGTCATTTGGCAACAGAATTTGGCAGCCCAGGAGAACTCCAGTGGGTGTTGTACTACCACCCCCAGCCTGCAGGGGGTGCAGAACTTCAAAAGCCAGATGCTGAGTTGACCTCTTCTCAGGTTTACATAGTAAAAGCATGGCTGCATGTGACTGAGGAAATCCTGAGAAAATGGCCTGCGGGGGAATCCATTGGAGAGAGAAACTGAGGTGCACAGGGTTGTCATTCTGTGCCAACTTTGTAAAGATGTGTCTCAATTTGATTACACAAGGTGGAGTTCAGAAAAAACTGCCCTGATGACTGATCAGCTGAAGGAGAGTTTAGTCAAACATTATTACCTTCAGAAGTCCCAATCGTGGGAGTTGAAGAGTTCAGTCCTACATGGTGTCATGTCTCAGTCAGTTATTTCTTGGTCTATCACTTCTAGATCAGCAGGGTGGTGCAGCCCTTAGATCACCACTGTTTAGCAAAAACCAAATCCTGTCACTTCTATTGTCTTCCCTTTGTGTGTATGTGCAGGTCACCTCCCTGTTCCGTCTATCTGTGTATGAGTGCAGGTAACCACCCTGTTTCTGTTGTGTGTGTGTGTAAGCACATGTTATGCCCCTCTTGCCTCTGTCCATGTAGTAGCACAGGTCATCTTCCTGTTCCACCTGATTGCAAGTGCAGGTCATCTTCCTCTGACCATTTGTATGTAAGCACAGGTCATTCCCTTGTTCTGGCTGTATGTATAAGCAGAGGCCATTTCCCTATTTTCTCTATAAATGTGTACAAGCACTGGTTGTCTCCCTGTTCCATCTGTACATAAGCACGGGGTATCTCCCTGCTCCATCTGTCTGTAAGTGCAGGTCATCTGCCTGATCCATCTGTACATGTGCGTATCGCATCTGTGGGCAAGTGCATTCAATCTGCATGCTCTGCCTGTCCATGTGTATGTAAGCGCAGATCACCTGCTTGATCTAACTGTCCCTAAGCATAGGTAATTTCCCTCTTCGATGTGTGCATAAGCACCAGGTCATCGGCCACTTTCACCTGTCTCTAAACATAGGTCATTGTCCTCTTCTATGTGTGCATAACAGGTCATCTACCTGTCTGTCTAAAAGCACAGATCATCTGACTGTTTCTTCCGTCTGCAAGCGCAGGTGAACTGCTTGCTCCATCTGTCTGTAAGTACAGGTCTGCTTGCTGTTCTGTCTGGCTTTTTCTGTGTAAGTGCAGGCTATCTGCCTGTTCCATCTGTGTGTGTAAGCGCAGGCTATCTGCCTGTTCCATCTGTGTGTGTAAGCGCAGGTTATCTGCCTGTTCCATCTGTGTGTGTAAGCGCAGGTTTATTTGCCTGTTCCATCTGTGTGTGTAAGAGCAGGTTTATTTGCCTGTTCCATCTGTGTGTAAGCACAGGTTTATTTGCCTGTTCCATCTGTGTGTGTAAGAGCAGGTTTATTTGCCTGTTCCATCTGTGTGTAAGCACAGGTTTATTTGCCTGTTCCATCTGTGTGTGTAAGCGCAGGTTTATTTGCCTGTTCCATCTGTGTGTGTAAGCGCAGGCTATCTGCCTGTTCCATCTGTGTGTGTAAGCGCAGGCTATCTGCCTGTTCCATCTGTGTGTGTAAGCGCAGGTTATCTGCCTGTTCCATCTGTGTGTGTAAGCGCAGGTTTATTTGCCTGTTCCATCTGTGTGTGTAAGAGCAGGTTTATTTGCCTGTTCCATCTGTGTGTAAGCACAGGTTTATTTGCCTGTTCCATCTGTGTGTGTAAGCGCAGGTTTATTTGCCTGTTCCATCTGTGTGTGTAAGCGCAGGCTATCTGCCTGTTCCATCTGTGTGTGTAAGCGCAGGCTATCTGCCTGTTCCATCTGTGTGTGTAAGCGCAGGTTTATTTGCCTGTTCCATCTGTGTGTGTAAGCGCAGGTTTATTTGCCTACTCTGTCTGTTCATCTATGTTTAAACCTGTTTTGAATGTGTGTATGTGCTTGTCATCTTTCTGTTCTGTGTGTCCAGCAGACTTTCCTAGGACCCTATAGGAGACTAATGATCAGATTGTTGCCTTAATATCTCTACAGAAACTTCTACCTATTTTAAAGCCGAACTCCAGGAAGATATAAAAGACACAAGTTAATGCAGCTCTGTATTTTTTCTAAAAACAAAACTAGTGTAAGTCCCGGAATTTGACTTTGTATCAGCCTCTAGCAATCCCCTGTATAGCAGCACTCTGGTTGGGAGAGCCATGGCTACCCCTGCCTCTCCCAATCCGAGTGCTGCTATACAAGAGATTGCTAGAGGCTGATACTGGGAGCAAAAAGAGGTATGTCGCATGCAAATGTGCTGACTAGGAACATGCTGATGGGAGGAGATTACAGAATGGGGGGAAAGATGATCCCATTAGTCGGCTGCTTCCCCTACCGGGTTCAATCAGCAGCAGAAGGGGCCAGAGAAGTCACCACTGTGTTCCTTCTACAGTTTAGAAGGAAAAGAAAAAGTGGTGTCATCTGTGGCAGGCTTGTGTAAATCTCAGGAATGGGTAGACAGACATTTTCCTGGAGTTCAGCTTTAATTGGTTTGTGGAAGCTGTTTCCAACAGGTTTCAATTGTATGCCATGTCTCAGCTAATCACCACACAGAGAATAGAAGTGACAGCTGTGGAACTGCCAGAATAGCCATCAAGCTGTACGAGTGAGATCTTCATATATGGTTCCCGTGTTTAAAGACAGATTATGGACTAGGTCCAGATTGATTTCCAGTGTCAGTTTACTGAGGTACAATTTCTGATTAGAGTCTAAATAACAGGAAACAGCCATCTAGAAATCTCCTGCATCCCCATAACCTACTGATGTTCAATAACTTCAAGTGTTGAGTTGTCCATTCACAGGGTCACATTGCAATCAGAGGTGACTTGCCACCCAGCATAATATTCCCTACAGAGAGAGAGGCTTTATCATGTTGCATAAGGGATGGTTATAGATCAGATGATTCAGTTGATTTGTCTGTCAGCAATGGCAGTCCATAAAACTCAAATAACAAATGTATTCTGCAGCAAAGGATAGCAGAAAATGATGCGATAGTGTTTATGGCCGATTGTCCAGTAGTTCTCGTGCACAGACTCTCATGTCCTTGCCTCAGGCACCCCACTGCACACAGCTGTTTTGTGACATTCCAGTGACGTGTAAGGGAAGAGGGTGGATAAGGTGCAGGGTAACAACGATTGTCGTCACTTTAAATCGACAATGTCTTCATCAAAGGATTCTGCCATGTGGAAGGGATTACCACTAAAGAGGGGGCTCTCCTCCACACTGATGTTGGATTCTGGGTCAGAACTAGTGGAACAATGGCGCTGACTTTCCGAGTTGCTTTCAAATGAGCCTGAATTAATCCTGATAAGAAAAGAGATTCCTCGTGATTTAGGATTAACCAAATTTATAATACATGGGATCCAAAATTCTCATCAGTGAATTAAAGTGCAGCCGTACTATTGTAAAATGTTTCCTGTCATGCTGAATGCTGTATAGTAGTAGGTGCCATAATATGCCAGGCTGTACCTGCCCTTTTGCAATAACTGACAACAACACTGGAGCCTGCAAAGTTCCTATTCAAAAAGTGTCATCACCCCACCTGACAGTCCTCTGGCCTGGAACATGGATAGGATGTATCTACTTTTCCCCATACTGTAGAAGTCAGGGTGTTTGGGTAAGCTCTGCACATTCAATCTGACATGTTGTAATAAGTACGTATTAAACGTGATACTTTTTGCAGTTGTCTTATGCTGAGCCTGATGGATCATACAGTCTAAAATACCATTGTTTTTTTTCTGCCCATAGAATAATTGGTATACCACTCAGCTACACAACCATCTTCATCTGACTGATCGATAAGGCTGGATTGACAATAGTGCGCTATATCAGCACACCTGAGTGAACAATCTTTTTGTACAACAGTACGTTACCATGCATTGTGGTGCGCTGCAAAGCACATCCATTGGCATGGAGCACTGAGTGCCATTAGGAATAAATGAATGGCACCACAGCGTACCAGCGGGAACCCAGCCTAGATGTGTAATACTGCACCTTGTGTGTTATCTGTCTATTGTGTTTCTCCTGAAGGAGCACACAGGCATTCACAGTTCCTCCAGTCAACATGCAGGTTTGCTGCAGAAGGTGACATTTGTTTCCTGTCTTGTCTCCTCTCCTCAGCACAAATGGTTCTAGCTTTTCCACTGAGACCCTCAGTACAGGCCTCTTGTGTAACATTTAAGCATTTCCCAGCTTTCTGCAGATGTTCAGTTTTCTCTGACCTGTAACTCATGGGCATTCTGCCTTACAGATAGATTTGGCTGCCTTGCCGGCCCAATGTTCAACCTCTCACAGTGTGAAGGTCAAGGTATTTTGCTTAAATGGATTGGATCCTTCCTTTAGGAAGTGACTAAGTTTATTGAAACAGAATGTCAAAGAAGCGGTGGCTGACCGGATTACTCAATTTCTTGCATATAGGGTGAAGAACCCTGCCGTTCTACTTTTTTGCTGACTTTGTCCCATTGAGAGATTTCCGTTCACTTCTTGTCTCAAAGATATGTCAAAGTTAGGAAACTTCCCCAATTTTCTAGGCACATTGCCTTCCATTCTTTCAATGGTAGCTTTGAACCTGGGGACCTGGACTCTGTACCAATCAGATCAAAAGAACAATTCCCAACCAATATGGATCTTACAGCCTAAGCTGGTGATTGGAGGATAAAAATCTATCCAGGGGACAAGTCCCTTAACCCTGGAGACTGGATCATTGTTCTTTTCAATGGAAGTCTCCAAAGCTGGGGAGTTCATTGTCAGCTCAGATTACTTGAGGAAGTATGATCAGAAAGGACAGAGGCCTCTTTGTCAGACAAAGAATATTCTGGAGTTAAGAACCGTGTTCATGATCATAAAATCTTTGAAGGCCCTGCTTTATGGAAATAAAGATGGCCATTACTACTGCAGTATCCTATGTATTCAAACAGAGTGCTATTCACAGCCTTCTAGTAGAAGTGACCAGGATTTTTCAAGTGGGCAGAAACTCCAGTGTCCAGTGTTGCTAGGAATCAGTGCCCCAGCAGTACCCCGTATGTTCCCTTTTGTTTATGTATTTCCACTAGTCACATTGATCTTAAAGGGTACTTCTGATGAGTCAAGAGGAGGTACAATAATTGAGTCATCAATTCCAGCCATTAGGGATGCACCGATACCACTTTTTTAAGACCGAGTACCGATACTTTTGATCAAGTACTCGCAGATACCAATTACCGATACTTTTTCTTAAAGGGACAGGTCACATTTTTTCTAAAGCAATACAAACTAATGCTTTAAGGTCACTTTCTTAATATTATGATTCATGAGATGACGAGGGAGCATGATGCCGGCTTCCTGGCCAATCAGAATGCCGGGCGCTGCGTCATTACACGGCACCCGGCTTCCGGATTTGCTAGCTTCCTGACCAGTCGGGAAGCCGGGCAGCGCGTCATTGCACGCTACCCGGCTTTCTGATTGGCCGTGAAATCAGCTCCATGCTCTCTTATCACAAGTGACGAGAGAGCATGGAGCCGTTTCCTGGCCAATCAGGAAACCGGGCAGCGTGTAATGATCCGCTGCCCGGCTTTCTGATACAGGAAGTACTTGTGCTAGGTATCGGAGCATTTGGGCGAGTACGAGTACTCACCCAAATACTCGGTATCGGCACCAATACCGATACTAGTATCGGTGCATCCCTACCAGCCATCATTCCATTTTGGCCTCACCAGCTAAGGATCCCACACCTTTGTTGTCTAAAGGTGGAGGATACTTGGTTGTTGCTGGTGAAGACCGCTAGTATTCTATGTTGTCTGAAACATCTGAAAATGAGTGATATTCTTTAGTTCCATCAGCAGATAACATTTTGAATTTTCTCCAAGCTGGTGTAGATGAAGATCTTGCATACAACATAATCAAAGGGCATGTCTCAACTCTGTCATCCCTTTCAAGCAATCAAAGAGCCACAAACCAGCTTTCATGGGTTCTTCAAGCATTGACTATGGCTCAGTTTGTGCCTATTAGATGCATGTATCTCTGATAGTTAACACTCAAGATGGCATTCCTTGTAGAGATTATGTAAACCAGAGGGGACCCTCGGATGCAAGCCTTGATTTCTTAGGAGGCTTTTGTATCATATTTCAAGACAACATAGTACTTAGACCATACCCAGAATTTCTACCTAAAGTAGTTTTGAAATGTCATCTTGATATGTAAAGGTAATTGCCAGTGTTCTTTCCTAACACAGTCTCCCAGGAGGTATAAAAAAAAAGTGAAAGTGTTTCAGCCAACAGCATAGCATCTTGGATTACCCAGACAATTTAGAATTTGTTACAAGGCAAAAGGTATTAATCCGCCTATTCAAGTCACCAGAGGTGCAGCAGCATCCTCGGCTTTCCTAACTGGGGGTCCAGTAGATAGTATATGCAAAGCAAGCTGGTCTTTCAAAAACATGATGGTGAATGTAGTGGCCAGTTCAAATGTCCTACTACTTTATTAACATTTCCTGCAACCACTATTTTCTTTATGTATTTTCCAATATTAGCCAATATGGAGAGGTGACCAGAACACTGAAAATGGTTGACTCATACTATGATTTTGCTTTCCTGTGACCTTACCATGTCAGCGGAAGGTTTACCAACCTTGTTTTTGCTATTAGCTTGGAACATCTGAAGGAAGGTAAATTAAACTTTGAGGCTGGATTCACACTTATGCACTTCATGATGTGTTGACATGCATAGCCATTCCTATCCAAAGCCCTTTATTTCAGATGAAATCAAGGACACAACCTTCTTGTGAACTAGCACCATTAAAAACAATGGCAAACCTCTGCACATGTGATAATGTACATTAAAATGCTTATTTGTAAATGGGACCCTAAAGGTTACACAAATGGTCTGTCCAGAGGACCTTGGAGGCAGAGCTAGACCTATTTGTACTGTGAGGGGTGGCAAATGAGAATTTCTGTATCTGTCAGCAATTTGTTTGAGGGTTTTTTCAGCCTCATTTGGTGCCATCATGTCTTCCATGAGGACCTCAAACTGAACATTTTGTCAGTGAATTTGTGCAGTAGCAGTTGAGAGGGAGTCTTTACCCATCTCAAACATTTAGTTGAGCAATCTGCTATAGAAGGTGCTGCAGATAGAAAATACTTCCCCACTGACAGCTAGCGAAGACTTTCTACTTGCAGAACTGCACAAAATGTCAGGCCACCATTTACCTTTCGATGCTGGCTGACCGTACAGCTTCTTCTTCTTCTTTAGTATCTTCTTCCACTGCTTTTCTTGCAAACTTCTTCTGACGCTGTGACCCTTCAGACTTTGTGTCCCCAGTAAGACCTGAGAGAGGAGAAACACATTCTACTTCAGAAAAATACCGATGCGCTCACAGTCAAATCCCACCTTTACCACTATGCCACAGGAGGGTGTAGTTAAGTGCATTCCACCAGATATTCTGGGGATGGGTAAGGAGAAGAGTTAGGTATAGCAAAAGATCTGTGTACATAGTACACTCAATTAAAAGTAACCTTTGCGGACACAAATCTGATTGCTATAGTTATTGCTCTTCGGAAAATGCTAATTGACTGGCTATCTTTGGCATGATAGCAGAAATCTGCTTGACTGCAGCATATGACAGAAGATGCTTGTTGGGTATAAGTTTTTGCAGTTCCTTGGCATAGCGATGGACATTAGCATGCTGTAGTGCACCCTGCCATTTCTTCTACCCCTCTCCTCTCCAACAATAGACGGACAGTGAGGGAATTCAGCTGTCATTACAGCAGCATCAACAGCAGAAACTATGGGGGAAGCCCAAAGGATAATTGTTGCACTTTGCTCGTTTCATAGAAAAACTACCTGACCAAAAAAGTTTTGTTAGAGACTTCAGATGAGAAGATAAACAAAAAACATTTTGGAAACAAGTTTAATGGAACGAAGAGATAAAAATACATTGTATATATTACCCAGTAATTCCTTCCTTGTCCGGCAGGCAATCTCCTTTATTTCCATGCGAGAGAGTGACAGGGAGTGGGTGACAGGTATGCAGGCGATGCCACTGGATGTTGGGGTCGTGATGACCTTAGGGACCATTGGGGACTTCAGGGGTCGCTCAATGCTTCGTCCGACTAAATTACTGAGTGGGATTTTGTAGATGTTTCTGTACGGGATGTCCCCTGAAATAAAGGACAACATATACCACTCTTAGCATTGCCAAATTGTCATGGTGAAATGCTTTCTAACTATATATTTGCCTCTGGGGCTCTGCTCTGAAGGTGCTCTTGAGGTACCTCTATTGATCTCCTCCTTTGCTACTCTACCTTTTGCCACCATTCAAGTGGACAGTCTTCTGAGGGGCAAAAGCAAGGGGAGAGGCTTGGCACCACCCCACTCTATACGCTCCTCATTAAAAAAAACTTTCTTATTGAAGCTTATTCAAATCATATAAATAACATCTCAGCAACATCTGCCCTCATTCCCCTTGTCTGGGTCCAGAATTGTCCAAATCTCCCAGATGTGGTGTGCAGATCAGAACCCCAATCTATACACTATTGCTGTCTTCATAGTATCTGTTTATAGAATGGAAGTAATTGTTTTGATACGGGACAGATTTGTCCTAATGAATAGGAAGTATTACAAGGATCACTTGTATAGTAAGGGGAGAACTCAACAACAACATATTTCCTGTACATAAGCTAATTCTTCATCAGTGTTGCTGAGCTGCTCCATACTGTGCTCTACGGAATATTTACCACATTCACAGAGTGGCCATGGGATGGTTTCTATAAAGGTGGATGATGATGTTTAGGATGACCCTGGTGATTTGCAGTGCAGAAAAAAAAGCAATTTCTACAAATGAGCGCGGACAGGATTTAATTCCTGATGTCTCTTCCACTGACCTGTGACATTTATCGACGTAAACAAAGAATAATCTTTAAGAGATTGGTACAGTAATATCTAATCATTATGCGCCTTCCCTAAAAGGTAAACAGCAATGAAGATCACCAGCACTCACACGATGAAATAAATCCTAGTGTTCTTTAGTGAATTAATCATGTCACATATATTGCATAACCAACATTTTGGAACCACACAGGGTCCCTTTATCAGGACGAACATAGTGTGCTTCATTGCTGTTAAACTTGGATATGCAAGGTGCCATCCATGGACATCACTACGAGCACCATCGCTATTTCAAGCACAGGTCCTGAAAGCTGTATGGTGTGCAGGGGACACCTTTGGTTACCAAGTTCCCTAAAAGCTAAACTGCCTGGACATTAGGCAATACAATATTTTTTTCTGTGGCCAATTCGGACAGAAGAAACACATGATGAAAAGATCCTTTTATGTCCTTCACACAGAACAGAGTGGGCATAGGATTGTTTACCTTCTGCTGGTGAAGAAGGGAAAACTGGCAGGTCATAGCCGGTCGGCGTCTGTGGCGAACTGTGGGAACTTGTGTCCTTCGAGCTACTATTCGATGAGGTGCTCGCTGCTGCCGAGGCCTTAAAATAGATATCAGACTGGAGAGAAAAGGCACAGTGTCACACATGTTACTTCTGCTTCTACAGAAGACATTGGGAAAGGGGGTGGGGGTAGTTATTAAGAGATGTGCAGTGTAACCTATTTACTGTAACCTATAGCAACCAATTAGTCAGAACAAAGAAATAGGCTTGGTTACTAAACTCCATGGAATACAGAGCGGTGCCAGTTTATGATCTGAAAGCGCACATTCAAGGCAGGAAAGTGGGAGGACAACACTAATGCAGCAGGTAACCTGTCCCGAGAACATTACAGGGGCTGCCACTGTTGACCTCTAAAAATGCTAGTCGGCTGGCTTTCTGGCCTCAAAACTTCCTGCAATAAGTGAAGTCCTAACTCTTGATCTCCATACTTGTTGCAGGGAAGTGGCTCAAATTATTAAAGTCTTTTAATTAGTATGACAGCCAGACAACTAGCATTTTACAGAGAAGAAGTTGACAATGGCAGCCTCTCTCTTTCTCTTGGTACAGATTTTCATCAGCACTAACACAATGAACAGAACAAAATTACCTGTTGGCACACATCTGAATAGCGCAGGCCAGGAGGAAAGTCCACCAAGTATTTAGCACATTGGGGATTGAATATTAACACTCAGCGACAGCACACTTCACACAGACACTTCCTGCACATTTACACAAATTCTTTACCCCGAAAGCACTTCTAATGTGGAATGTATGCGGGAACCCTCACCAACATGTGAAGAACTAAACTTATACCAAAAAGTGTCCCAAGAGAATTTTGAACAAGAGACCCCAGTGCGGCAATGCTAAACTGTTAACCAGGGCTTGCTTTTCCATGAAACACACTAGGCATGTGCACCAAGGCACTGTCAAGGGATGCCTGCCTCCAGGACATTTTCATCCCCTGTAATTACTCTAAAATACCCTATGGCCTGCTGTGTCCAAACAATAGATATTGTACGGGTAATGTGGAGCTGCCCCCTCTTCCTCTGAGAATTAAGTTAGTAAATAGGTTAAAAAAAGAACGTGGTGAAAAAACAGGGAAATTGCGCCAAGCAGCTTCATAAATAGGACAGGCTGGTGGACATGATAAATAAACAAAATGGAGAAATCTCTATTTTCCCCTCCTCAATAAATAGGACTGATACTGCCAATCTGTGGCATTCTAGTAGTTTTATAACATTCTTCTATTGTAGTAAGTACTGGCAATGTTGTGAAGTTTTTGCTATATGATTTCTCATAGGAGGGATAGGACATAGTTCATAGTTGTGTCAGCAGTGTGTGGTTTGAGATAAGGTGAGATTATGCTAGTAATAGGTGTCTTGGAAAGATTTAGAAAATCTGCTAAATGGTTGATAATATCACAGTCCCTGAATTATAAAGAATTTGCTGCAAAATCTCGCCACTGTTGTGTTACCAGTGCTACACACACAGTGACTGGTTTTATCCACCTGTCAGAAGTACGTGTTATGCTCACACACCCATCTGCTATTGGTCCCTGTTCTACCAAGGTTCCCACACCACATTGTTTCTTGTTTTCACACATGATCCACCTGTCATTATTCCCTATTTCCCCAGGCATCCACCTGCTATCAATCCCTATTTCATCCATGCAACCACCCACCATCTTTTCTTGTTTTATGCAGGCACCCATCTGCCAGTAGTCTGTAATGTAACAATGCACCCATCCACCATCATCCATTTCCCCCAGTGCAGCTCACCCGGGACGACACCAGCTGCAGCTCTGGAACCACTGCCGTGTGCACCAAGTTGCCATTCACAACGAGCCGGATCTCTATGGAGTCAGTGGTGAAGGCCAGGATGTAGGGGAAAGCACATACTATCGGACAGACAGAAGACAGATCATGTCTGGAGATGAACATAGTTACTCAGATCTTCACAGTCAACATAGAGAAAATAATGAGCCATACATAAACAGAAGATATTATTCTGTCTACTATTCCAGCACTACTGGCCCTACCCCTTCTTCCACTTGTTCTCTCCTGACCCTAATCCTTTCTTTGCCTGTTCCCTCCTGAGCCTTCCCCTAATCCTTTCTCTGCCTGTTCCCTCCTGAGCCTTCCCCTATCACCTACCCATACTTTCCGGATGCCTACTGACCTGTACTAACCTGATCTATACACCTTTTAACTGACCTATACTCTTCTGACACTTCCCCATCACCTACCTTTGCTCTCCTGACCCTTCTCCATCCCCTATCTATACTCCCCTGAATCTTCTCCCTCCACCTTACTGATTCCTACCCCAACTCCCACCAATTTTTGTTCAGTGACAAACTAGCTACTGTCAACTCTTTCACCTGTGAGCTTTCAAAGTTTTTATTGTGCCGAAACAAGTGCCAAGTAGCAACAACAACACCTCTGGCTTTCTGTGTGGTTTTACAAGTAAAAGTGGAGAGAAACCTCCCAACAACTCTAACGGAGTGGAATGACCATGTGGGCACCCCAGGTTCAATATTTTCCAGTAAAAGTGAGTGTAGTCTCACCGACAGCGTTGGGAACCTGATTCCAGCTGAAAAGGAAATCAGATACAGATGGCTGAATGAGCGGAGTTCCTCCATTGAACGGAGTGACTTTCTTGTAGCAACACATGTCTGAAATTAAAGAGATAACATCAGTGTGTGAGACACATCTCTACTGTATGAATATAAAGAACAGAATGTACACATGGTTGTGTGAGGAATTATCTTTTCCTCGGCGTACGCTCTATTCAGTTACATTGCCAGGCGGCAGATGCTCCATTATTGTTCTGCGGTGTCACCCCATCACTGCCTGAGTAGGATTATTGTGACATCTTGTGTTTTTGGTACTCACTGTTAATTACACACTGAGAATCTGCTTTAATATAAATACACATTTCTCATCCCACGCAGAGATGACAAATTGCACTAAATGCCAGCTAAAGATCCAGAAATTCTGCGATATGACCAATCTCCTTCATATCTACAGGCAGAAGAGAGAAATACAGGATTGCAAGATTGTTCTGACTATATTATATCACATTGCATTGCGGTGATCTAGGGGTGGGGTGTGATTTTATAGAGTGATGAGTCTGCAAGGGATTCAATTATAACAATTCTTAGACAAATTACATGTGCTACAAATGGGCAATCAGGACAATACATGGGCAACAGACAGGCAACAGTCTGCTTCTCCACCATCTTTCCTTACCTTTGTTCCAGGCCTGCACTGCATTCCAGCAGTAAACTTTTATCCTATATCTGCATGTGTGTAGCCAAGGAGAGGTGATGGAGGGGGACAGAGCACAGCTCACATTTCCTCTTAGCCATCTCCTCCTCTACAGCACCAGCTCTCCGCTCCAGTCCCTGGAGCTGCCAATTGCCCAGAGACCCATTAATCTTTTTGATTAGCTGGAGTCTTTGGCCAAATCCCAATAGATCCCACCTATAAATGAGTGGTTGTCATTGGGAAAGGAAGATACAGACACACAAATAAGATGTTTTGGCTGTAGTTGTGCTTTAATTAATGCAAATGACAAGAAACAAGTTCCTAGAGGGTAATATCTGCAACAATTGACTTTTTCTCAGCTATTATTTTTATACCTTTCAAACATAAAACTAATTTACATAAACAAACAGTCTCCAGTCACAGAACACATCTATTAATTGCCCCACTAATAGATAAGCTCTATATCCTGCTCCCCAATCACAGAATACCTCTATTACTTGCCCCCAATCACTCACAGTTGTAGCACAGCAGTAATCCAGCTTCTCCATCTTCATAAACATCAATTGCTGCAACAAAATGAACCTGGAATGATAATGTGGAAGACTAGCTGGACATTTTGGATGGGTTTTCCATATATTTTGCTTCAGTGTGTAATACAAGAAGAAAAACTGACAATGAATTATAACACATAGCAACGTAGTCATTAAAATCTGTTTGGCTGCATTGCCACAACTTCATGCATGCCAGAAAAAAAATCTTCAATGTGCTCAGCTATGCCAGGACCCCCCAATCCACATAAGATTCTTCATTGCCTCCTAATTGGTGTCAAATAATGATGGCAGACAAATCCTTAAATATTTTTTTATAATTTGGCAAATTCAGCCAAAGTCTCTACTGAGACACTGTTATCATATTTGCTGCACTGTGTATACTCAGGCACATCCCCTTCCACTCTCCATGTATACAGGTAGCACATCCCTCCTCCATATATCCAAGAGGCAAATATCCCACTCTATGTTTTCAAGGAGCACATCTCGGTTTTAAACTTTCATGTAGCACAGTTTCCTATTCATCCTCCATGTATATAAGAGCACATCCCCCTTCACCCTGCATGTATCTGAGGGGCACATCACCTCCTCCACCAACAACAATGTGGTTACTTAGAGCTAACTCAGGAAAGGAGCTGGATGTTTTATAGCACAAACTAAAAAAGTGTTCTGTGGTCTGTGGCTGAATTAAGTCACCATGCATGTTACAAACTGTGGCGCCACTCTGTTAGTGACATGACTGGTGGCATTTTTTTCAATAGCGGCATCCCAGCAGGCATTAACAGATGTCAACTTTAATCTCTGATCTATCTTCTAAGCCATAGCAATGCTGCTTATTGTCTACTAAGTATAACACAAGCTGGGTAACTCACCCTACTCGCATCAACATGATGCAGTCGGCACGATTCTCCCGTACTTTCGTTTACCAGATCAAACTGGTGTCGGTACGCCACACAGATCATGTTGTCATTATCACCAGTTGGACCATCAACTAAAGTCATCACCATGGGAGGGTCAGACAGGCAGATCTCCTGCAAAAAGAAGCACATTTCAAAACTTAACAGAGTACACGTCATGATGCCAGAGTAGAAAAGACAGATGCCATTACCCCAGAACTGAAAATAACAGACAAAAATCAATACATCAGCACTGAGAAGAAGAGACAAACACCATGACACCAGTTTTGAGTAAAATAGACAGATACGATGATACCAGCAATAAGGAGAACAGACAGATGTCATAGCACCAGTACTGAGGGGAACAGACAGTTGCCATTGCACACGCACTGAGAACAGACAGATACCATTACATCAGCACTGAGAACAGACAGATACCATTACATCAGCACTGAGAACAGACAGATACCATTACATCAGCACTGAGAACAGACAGATACCATTACATCAGCACTGAGAACAGACAGATGTCATGAGAACAGCACTGAGGAGAAGAGACAGACACATGGCACCAGCACTGAGGAGAATAGACAGACACATGGCACCAGCACTGAAGACGAGACAGATACCATGCCACCAGCATTGAGGAAATCAGACAGGTGCCATAACACCAGCACTGAAGAGTAGAGACAGACACACTGGTACCAGCACTGGTAGGTAGACAGACACTGGCCTGATAAATTATTTTAAAGAGCGGGGGGGTAAATGGGGTTAACTACCTATACCAGTTTGCTTTGCAGATTACTCTGGGAAATGACAGACACTAATCAGTGCACTAATAGAGCTGTTTGGTTTACGCACTTAAAAGGAGAACTATGAGGTGAGTGCTTTTCACTCACCTCATAGTTCTAGCAGACCTGTGACAATGAGACTGTCACAGGTCGGCTCAGTAGATCGGGAGGTGAGCGAACACATACCGCGTTCGCTCGCCTCTCGATCCTGTCACGGCTCCCTGCCGTGACAGGGGGAGGGGCTGGATTCCCCTCTCCTCGCTCCGATCTGCCAGCGCTGACTGGCGGAACGGACGGGGGAGGGGCGGGTACAGCTGGCTCTGCCTCTAGATAGGCAGAGCCAGCTGTCAGTCACGCAGCTGGGCGGATCCCGTCATCTAAGTCGTGATCCGCTCCGGCTGCTCGCGGTATACTGAGCTTAGGGTGACGGGAGGACGCTAGTTTGTGTCCTCCCGTTACCCTAAGGAGAACTATGGGGAAAAACACTGACCCCATAGTTCTCCTTTAATTTGCCATCTCCTTACCCGAATGTACTGGAATTCCTCCACTGGTGAATATCCTCCACTGCTGCTGTACGGATTGTGTCTCCGGGTAATGAGTAGCAGTTTGTTCCTGATGGCGGCTACAATTCGAAGCTCCTGGCTGTGATGTGTGTTGATGGCATACAAATGACATCCTGTGTGAGAAAAGACTTGCATAAGATATGGCAAAGGTCAGTAAAGGATGTGATTTGTCACCAATGAAGAAGTTACAACCAGCATATACTGCCTCATTGCAGCTCAGTCACATGCAGTCATGAATATGAGAAACTGCAGATTGTACAAATCAAAATATCTTTATCCCGAGGATGAAGGGACCACAGAGAGGAGAATACAGACCAATGTTTATATACCTCTTGTTTTCTCTAGTTTGTTTTCCCGGCATTCATACTTAGTCCTGGGAATTTGTTTGTCTTCCAGTCCTTTCCTGATGGCGCTGAGACGGAACACGTAGAGACGTGCATCCTTTCCTAGGAGGAGAGGAAGACAGAGAAGAAATAATTGAAAATCTGTGAGATGCAGATCTCTATCCAAAATACAAACCCTTGTATAAGAACGCAAAACCTCTAACAATAATAGGATTTTCGTACTCACTGTAAAATCCTTTTGAATCCTTTTCAATGAATACAAGGTGTTTTCTGACTGGACAAGGGGCAGATCATGACATCACCGCCCCTTGTATAATCAGGGGTTTTCCATATACTGTATCTTGCTTCAATGAGTAATACAAGGAGAAAAACTGACAAAGAACAATAACACATAGCAACATATCCACGAAATCTGGTTGCATTGCTGCACATTCATGCATGCCAGAAAAAAAAAACATCCATATGTTCAGCTACACCAAGACCCTCCAAATCACATAAAACACTTAACTGCTTTCCAATAGGTGTCAAATAATGATGGTAGACAATTTCTTAATATTCTTTGATAATTTGGCAAATTTAACCAAAGTCACTACTGAGTTACTGTTACCGTATCTCCTGTTCTGTATATACTTGGCAGGCACTGTGCTATCATTAATCTGAGAAGCACATTTTCTTCCTTGCCCTCCAAGAATGCGAGAAGCAAATTCACCACTCTAATCTCCATGTATCTGATGTGCACATCCCCCTTCCACCCTCAATGTATGCAAGTAGCACATCCCTCCTCCATGTATTCAAGGAGCACATTCCCCCCTCCATGTATCTAAGTAGTAGATCTCCCTTTCAAGCTTCCATTCATCTAAAGCTGGCCATACACTGTACAAATTAATACTTAATCAAGAACCAGATGACATTTGTTTAGTGGGTGGCCCTGTCGGCACCCTTCCGTCCAGCATCCTTTGATCAGAAAACTATGGGGTCAGTGTTTTTCACCATAGTTCTCATCAGGGTCACGGAAGGACATAAACTAGCGTCCTCCCGTAACCCAAAGCTCAGTATACCGCGAGCTACAGCTCGCGGAATACTGAGGCCGCCGCAGCCGGGACCTATCCCGACATTGCTGTCGAGATCCACCCAGCTGTGTCATTGACAGCTGACTCTGCCTATCTAGAGGCAGAGCCAGATGTACACGCCCCCTCCCCCGTTCGTTCCTCCAATCAACGCTGGAGGATCAGAGCGGGGAGGGGGGAAAGGATTGAGAAGTGAGTGAGCGACGGTATGTGTTCGATCACCTCCCGATCTATTGAGCCGACGTGTGACAGTTTCATCGAAAATAACTCACCTCATAGTTCTCTTTTAAGGAACCGGTCGGAAAAATTGTGGCGGAACAGGAACAGCCAATCAGCACCTGCCACTGTTCAGGTATTCTGAAAGCAGCATCCCTCCGCTGTCAGAATACAACAGCCCAGCAGGAGATTCATGCATCCATGCTACTTAGCATGGCTGGTGGAATCTGTTATATTTTTTGTAGTTCAGCCCGCAGGTTGAGCAAAAAATGATAACAGTGCATGGCCAGCTGAAGGAGCACATTCCACTATTCACCATCCATATATGTAAGAGCATATACCCCTTCCATGTATCTGGTGAATACATTGTGATATTACTGCCCCTCATTCAATCAGATATCGATATCAAATACTGATATTATTAAAAAATACCAGGCATTGCCTGAATGGCCGCTGTGCTGAGCAAGTAACCCCCTATGTTTTCAGAGCAGAGGGGAAGCTGCTCAGTGGGGCGACCTGCTACATGATATGCATACTTACAAAGGGCCATGATGGACCAATGTAAGTATAAATAATACTTTTTACCTGGAGTTCAGCTTTAACAAACATTGTGAAAAGTGGCGCACCTTCATGCTGAGGAGGGAAGAAGACTATAAGTACCAGACTTTGCGGGTGGACAGGGAACCAAGCTTGAGTATTAATATGGCAGGCACAAGAGCACAGTTACCTAAGTAAATGAGGCAGCTCTCGGTGCTCAGCGTGACCGCCCTACTTACTAAGTGAGTCTTCAGTAACAGGGCAAGTGCTGAGGCAATGCCAGTGGTTGTGGACCTGAGATTGCTCTGTGGCTAACTTTTACAATATCAATTCCAGCGTGGGTCTGAACACTGCACTCCAAAAGCATGGCTGAGGATGGCCGTGCCAGATAGCTGCAAGCAAGGAGACAAGGCTCCAGCAGTGAAGTAGAAAATAGTTTTGATTGAAGAAAAAAGAAAATCAAAGAAGAATGAAGCTGCTAACAAAAAATTAGTTAGTATTTTAACACAGCAGAGCTTCAGAAAAAAAACATGCATCCTCCTAGCTCACTAGCAAAAAACTGCTGTTTTTTTGCTGGTAGCAGGAGGGGTTATCCCAGGCAGCCTACAGTTTGTTTCACTTGCCAGTGTCCATTTCTTCTGTAGGAAGCAGTATACCCTAAAAGTGATAGATTTATTGTGTCCCTCAGTGGACGAGAAAGAAAATAGAACTCAAGAAGAGCTGCTGCTTCCTTCAGATACCTGGTTGCAAACATTAAAATGGAATTGCAACCAAAACATTTTTCCAGTTCTGGAAGGATTCGAAAATCTGTCAAGATTTTACTTCTATCTAAAAAGGTTTCAAATCACTGACCTGAAAATTCCCACCTTTTGCAGGATGATATGGGGACAAGAAGTGAAGGCATTAGCATTACCAAATCTAATCATTATTTTCAGTAAAAAACAAACAATGTTGTTCTATTAAAAGCTGCTTCTTCTGAGCTACTGGCCTAGATCAAAAGATCCATGGCTATGAATCATTAAAGACTACAGAGTTCATTGATTTTATTCAGACAGAGAATGTCAGGTAGACTTGCAGTGAGATAAGAGAATCAGCAAAAAAACTAAAAAGCAGAGTCTGCATATATAATGAGCAAATATGATTGTTCCCACCTGCATTTGTCATCACACAGGGTAGATATGGTATAAGGAAGGTTTATTACACATTCATATATATTGATAAGATTATTTACATAATATTGATATGTGAACTGTTTTACATGCTAAAGCATTTTAAATTCTAGTCAGACAGTCTTGTGGCTTGCACACATCTGCTACACTGCACAGCCAGGCTGGTCCTTGTAAGTAATTCAGCTTCCTATATCAACTGCTCTCATTTGAACAGTAAAGCTAAACTAGGAAGCAGTAGAATGGCTTTCCCGGCTGTGCAGTGTGGCAGAGGTATGTCAATCACAACAGCAGATTTACAAATCCTTTGGCAGGTAAAACAGTTTAAAGGAGTATAGGTCCTCTTTCATGCTATAAAAGTGTATAGGTCCTCTTTCATGCTATAAAAGTGTATAGGTCCTCTTTCATGCTATAAAAGAGTATAGGTCCTCTTTCATGCTATAAAAGTGTATAGGTCCTCTTTCATGCTATAAAAGAGTATAGGTCATCTTTCATAGCTGGAAATAGTGTCTCCAGTAGGGGGAGACTCGGCAGTGTGCCCTGTCACCCCCCACCATCACCAAATTAGATTGTGAATTAGGAAGCTGTCACTTTGCCTCTTAATAACATTGCCATAGCCAGTATTGTCAACAGCAACCTGACAATACTGATTGCTCCTCTCAACCTCCTTCCATCTGCCAAGGCAGACAATGAAATTACAGTCGACTGAGCTGCCGATGGCAACAACCCACTTCAGTGGTCTTGTGTAACATAACAGGGAACAAACTGCAGTACCAATAGCAACCAATCACAGCTTATCTTGTAATAGTCTGAACCTCACCAATGTGAATTTTCTTTGGTTACTTCATTTCTTGTGCTATTTATTGGGTCCGCAAACATCACACCCAAAATATGTATGTGTGGAACCATGGTATTTTAATTGTCATTTTAAAACATGCAGTATAAACAATAACCAATGGCCATGCGAAGATTAGCATTATACAGTAGTTGTACTTTCTGCTGTGATGTGTATGCCCTATATTTTAGGTAAATAGAGACCAAGTACACAGTGACAGACGCCCTCCTCTAAGGTGTCAGATAAAGCCCCTCCTATAGTGTAACAGGTACAGCCCCTCCCAATGCATGTCAGGTAATGCCCCCTCTATAAGGTAACAGACAGAGCCCTTCCTGTAGGCTGACTAGAAGAGACCCTTGCCCCTTCTGCCTTTGGGTGACAGGTACAGACTCCCTTATAAGATAACAGCCAGATCCCCTCTTATAGGATGAAGCCCCTTCAACAAGGTGGCAACTGGCCTCACCTTTATCCACTCGAGTAAGGAGGAGATCAAGCATTTCCAGAACATGCATCTGTTTTATTTGCAGTGTTTTATCGAACACAGCAATTTCTGGCTGACCATCTGTAAGAGAAGATAAAGTGAACATCAGTCAAATATCAGTACTGGTCACCACATATCATATGCTGCTAGATTGCCCACCTGTCCCCCGAAACTCCACCTTGCAGAAGACACAGAACAGCCTCTTTCCGCATTCCTATATGTGGACAAACATAATGTCCACATCGTCCAGACTTCAGATACAAAATGTATAACAGGGGGAGATCCAAATCGCTCAGACATTAAATCTCTGTTTTATCTGTCTCCAGCTGGGGAAACATTAACGTCTCGCTAATTTGTAGCCTTCTACAGCAGGAGCTAAAAATAGCCAGTAATTGGCGATGGCGCATTACATTAATAAAACAAGTGAAATAAATGAATCAATAAGGAACGGAGCAGCTTTAATGAGACTGCGAGCGGCAAGATCTTACTCGTTTATGCCTCAAAGCTGCAGCTCCACAATTGTTCCCCTGAGAGAGCCTTGTGGGTTTATTACACAAAATACAGTGCTTTATACCGCAAGCTTGCCCATTAGAGAGACCATCCTACCATCTGTATGACTGCTCCTTTTCACATTTGCATCACATCCACTATTGCAAAACCACCAATTAGTGATGTGCTGTAACCCATAGCAACCAGCCTTCACCTTCCATCAGTGAGCGGTCAGCACAACGGACAGGAATTTCTGATAGGCTGCTCTGTGTATTATAGTGCAATGTAAAGAGAAAGAACACCTGTACTAAGAGAATATAGGGGCTGCCGTTGCTGATCTCGCCTTCAAAATATGCAAGCTGCTTCGCTGTCATGCTGATCCAATTGCTTCAGTGATGATGATGATGATAGGATTCTCACCATCTATTAGCAACACTCCAGCATCTGTGGACAAGAAGAGCGACGGGCCCCAGGAATCACCAATGATGGCTTCATGGCTGAAGTTGTTGCAGTAACACTGAGACTCCCAGGGCTGAGAATTAAACACAGAGGCATTATTCAAATGATCACAGTATGTTCTGTTTCTCCATGCTGGATAATAGTGTATCTAGACCAGGACTCCACGGTGCTGAATCCTGGTCTAGTAATTTCGGGAATGTAAGATCAGCACAGCACTATGCTTTAACTGAATCCAAACAGTGCTCAAAGCCCTAGTGATATGCCATGTTCCTGAACTGACCTGCCAGCTACACAAGACTCCACCCATAGGTCATGGAATCGCTGTATCGGTTGTTGTCACTTGTATTTTACAATACATAATTAGAGATGTAGAACATTAGAATACACAGCTAACATTTACAACAGATGTGGAAGAATTTTGTTATCTTTCCCTCACCTTTGCTGTGCATTGGAAGAAGGAAGTGGACCTTTCCTGGATGGGTGTGTGTGTGTGCCCCCCACAACATGGCACTGTTTGCAGCGCAGTAAGACACAATGAGAAATAGTTCCCCGTAATGTGTGGACAGGCTGATGATGGCATTTGTGGAAGTTGTATAGAAAGGAATGTAAAGTAGAAACTATAGGAAATGAGTATATTAACAACACATAGTATACTTAGTTTACATTCCTAACATTGCAAGGTGATATTTTACCTATAGCACAAGTTTTTAAGGTTTCTTTCCCCATATATATTGGTGGAAGTTGCTGTGAAAGCAGGAGCTACCTGTGGAGCTCTTGGGTGGGAAGATCACGGAGGTAGTGCATATATAAGGAACAAGGGCCACAGCACTGAGGATTTGTTAGGGCACCTCCAGTGCTGTAATGAAGTGACATGCCTTCCAGCAATAACCCCTCAGTCTTTTCTTTCTTCTCTATAGAACAGTGTGATGTCAATGCTGATGTCTCTCCAGCCCACATACAACACCAGGGTTATAACTGGAGATTACAGGTGAAACTCGAATAATTAGAATATCGTGCAAAGTTCATTTATTTCACTAACGCAACTTAAAAGGTGAAACTAATATATGAGATAGACTCATTACATGCAAAGCAAGATAATTCAAGCCGTGATTTGTCATAATTGTGATGATTATGGCTTACAGCTCATGAAAACCCCAAGAACCCCAAATCCACAACCTCAAAAAAGTAGATTATTACATGCAATCAATAAAACAAGGATTGTACATAGAACAATATCGGACCTCTGAAAAGTACAAGCATGCATATGTACTCAGTACTTGGTTTGGGCCCCTTTTGCAGTACTTACTGCAATTACTTTTGCACGATATTCTAATTATTCGAGTTTCACCTGTATATCTCCTGGGGATAAGTAGGGCACCACTTGTTCTGATGTACTGTACTCCAAATATTACTGACACCCTTATTAAAGTTCCACCAGTGAAATCTCTGAGCTGTATCTTACATTAATTGATGGGTTGTGATGTCGTTTTTTCAGCAACACATTTGAAAATGATCTTTGGGATTTGTTTGTGGTTTACCAGAACAATTAGACTACAAATGAAAATGTTTGGTGTCCTCAGCAACCTCCAGGCAGTAGTATATTCATGTAATTATGCTATATAGTTAATGGTGGATATCTTACCTCCCTCCTGTATAGCCCTGTGGTAGCCAGACTGGTTGGAGCATCTCCCCTAACAATGGTCTTCAGCTTCAGCGCCTAAAAAGATGTTTGTTAAAAATCAGTACACACAGACAATGACATCACAGGGAATAACTTCAGAAGGGACATATTAAATGCAATCCGAATTAAAGCTTACAGCTCGGGGAGGTTGTTAAGCTGTGCAGAGGAGGATTGTGGGCTCCCTGAGAAGGTCACATACATCCTGAAATGTCTGGAATATCTACTAATGCATCTCACACCAATAAAAAGATACAACATACTAACCTGGCCAATCCTAACAAACTCTGCCTGGCGTGCCTCTTCCTTTTTCCTGGCAGATTTTGGAGATTCCGGCAAAACGTCACTGAAGGACCTTCTGTTTAGCATGTTCTAAAACAGTATAACAAACCAGAAATTAGTGTCTCCCACTTCTGCCCCACTGTACGAACTTGCCAGCCTCCCCATCTCTTACCCCTTTTAGCTCACAGTAACCCAATTTGCCAACAACTACTTCTCTAGGGACAATTTCCCCCCTTTCACTGTTAAGTTCCCCAAGTTCCTCTATTTACCAGCTGAAACCCTGTTGTACCTATTGCTACAGGATCAAAAAGAGAGATCAGCTGGAAGGATAATGCTGAAGGAATCAGCAGAAGCAAACAGCTGGATCTCTAGGAGAAATTCAGTAAAAAAAAATGGTGAGGAGAGATCAGGTGGAAGGGGTAGCTGGGGGAAACAGCTGGAAAGATCACCAGAAGAGATCAGGTGAAAGGAGCAGCAGGAATGATTAGGTGGAAGGATAAACAGGAGTGATCAAGTGGAAGGACTGGGGCACTCATGTGGAATACCAGCTTTTAGAAGCGGATACTGATATTTTAGTGAATTTTCTTACAGGCCATGCATAAATGCCATCTCTGACTCTACTTTCCTTAAAGTACAGTAACTTTATGTATTGGTGGCATTTGTGCCAAACTTTAATCACTATGAGGACTGTATCAAGAGAAAAAAATATTCTCTGTAGCCTACAGAGCCAGGTTCAGAATGACATTGGATGAAGATTATTCATATTGCGCATTTACAAACTAAAAGAAAAAAGTAAAAGCCACTGACTGGCTTGTTCTCTGGACACACCTTCACCTGCAGATAACACCTTGGAGACTGAATACATTACTTTTATAATCATATAAAGTATAATGATGCCACTTCTTCCCTCAGTCTAAAATCAGGTCAACTCTATAATCTCTCTGCTATGCTCTCTACTGGTAGAGCACTCCTGAATGGCTGGTTAAATGAATAAAGATGTGCTAAAAAATAATCAGGTTTGGGAAACACATTATGGGGCTAATTACATTTCATATTTAATCATTCTCTAATGACTATGGGTAGCATTAGGTACAAAGGAAACTTTAGGAGTAAGGTAGTAAGATTCCATAGGTAATAAACTCTATTTATAAGAGATCTACAAATGTCACAGGAATGTGCTAGCCACATAAATATAACAGCTCCAAACTGTGTTAAAAATGTAGTATAATTATGTACAAATTATATTGTGAGAATTTCTACCTTTAAGTTCAGAAAGTTTCACAAGTTATGCTTACAGTGGGGCTAAAACTGTATTCTGTCTGTTTGATGAACATTATCCTAGAATTGGGAATACAAGGGTCACCTGGCTGCCTGAAAGCAATATTTTAGCACAAACAGTAAGTGTAGAATGGGCCCTTTCCCGCTGGACCTAAGCCAGGTGATCTTTTTGTTTGTCCCAAAATATAAGAGCACCTGTGGAGGTATACATCAAGATCTCCCTGTGTGCACCAAAAACACAGGTCTAATACCCTGCTTAGACGAAGAGTGCATTTCTGTGAAAGAACCCCTGACATCTGGAGTGTTGGACAGCTGATAGCAAGCAGAAATTCAGAATTAAGGAGATTACAATGTTGACTTCACTGAGGTAGAATGTGTCACAACAGTCACATGATATTTGGATCACCTTGTGTAAATCTGGCATAAGGTCCTGATACAGTGACCGAATCAGCATGTCCAACGTCCTCTGTCGTTTCTGAGCGAAGGTAGGTGTTTCCAGAGTTGCCTTCTCACCATTTATTACTAAGAGAGGAAGAAGAGTGTACAAAACCTTTACAGAACGAAAGCAATAGAAAAAAAAGCTCAAATCCTAAAATAAAACAGATTTCAGTTACCAAATAAAATATTCCCCCCCCCCCCCCCCCCCCCCTTCCTGCCATCTGCCCGCACTGATCTCCCCATTACAAAGTTTAGCAGGGGAAAATGTAACCATGCCATCTGAATGTATGACATCATCACTGCACAGCAGATCAATTTTTACAATATGTCTAATGAATAAGAATGAAGAAGTAAAACTTACATTTTACTAGAAGAAAATCCCTGAATTCTTGGTGGTCAGTGAAGACAGGCGGGGAGGGAAGTGGAGGCCCAAATAGTGGTACACTTTCTTCTGAAAATATCTTTAATCTGCCAGATATCAGATTGAAGAAGCACAATTACACTCTTGGATGACATGCCATGTGTCAAGATAACATTGCAGAGGGGGAAATCCTGACAGTTTCCTCTCACACCAAGAACCAATGAAAATACACAGGAATGGGGAGGTCACTTTGGTATGTAATCTCCATGCACTCACCTGTAACTGTCATTCTGTTTGTTGTATCTCACTAAGGCAAAAATATCTGCAATCTTTATTAAGGAAAAAAAAACTCTGCTGCTGCCTAAATTAACCTGATACCCATCAGTACAAATCTAATTAGAGCTCCTTATGATTAGGACTGCCGAGACCAGCTGAGCTAAAGTGAATATATTTTGCCTTTAGTGCGGATTGTGATCACTTCCCTATCCCCTCATACATCCAACACACTCTCCAAAGTTCCAGGACGCTGCCATAATGAAAGGATACGAGTGAAGTGAGAGCGAATCATAGAGGGTTTAAATGATGGAGAAGACTCTTCGCCTTCCTGAAAGACGATGGTGACGATGTCATTACCGATGTGTCGTTTTCTTTCTACCTGGAAAACACAGACTATCACTTTTGTGGACTAATCCTTCACCTCCTACGGCCACCATCATTATTATGAATTATTGCAGTTGAATTCCAGAGCCAATTAAGGGACTGTGAGCTATGGATTTTGTATCCTGCCACTAAATGCCAGTCTGCTTCTCTTCCAGACATTTCATAGACTGGATTGTATGTTGGTCATATTTATTAACATTAAAGATAAAATAAACTTTTTTCATATTTTGATATTTGTATATTGATTTTCCTGTGGGGGTCTGGATGATTGAAACAAAGTGCACGTGTGGAGGTCTTTTCTCCTCATACCCAAATTTACCCCCAACCCTCCCCCCCAGTCTCCTCTAGGTCACGTCTTTTATTCATTTAACCTATTTCTGTAGCGAGAAACAGCCACTAGCACCATATCTTCCAAGAGCACTTAACCTACACACAGGCTCTAGAAAGTCAATGCAACAGCATTGTTTTACTGGGATAGAGATCAATATATGCATGTGGAGAGGGACAGAGAGGAGCAGAGCTCTGCAGTTCAGCAGGCAGGACAGACAACACTGCTTACGATTTTAGAGGAACAAAACCACTGTGTTGTCAGCTCAATCAAGTAGGTTGGAGCACACTGAATTTCTGACAGATCAACAGTTATTTTCTGTACTTGCAGTACTTTAAAAGAGACAAAATACTGGAACATGTGCATGTATTACACTGTCTTTTTTTTAATAATTTGCCTGACATACACTTAAAGGGTTATTAAACCCTCCGGTGTTTTTGCATATATCTACTACTAGCAAGCAGTAGATATATGCAAAAAGTGTAAAACAAAAACAACAAAAAAACGCTTTAAAAGCGGTTTAAAGTTACCTGTGTCTTCCCCGCGCGCTCCTGTCCAAAAATGTGAAAATTCTCGGGCGGCTACAAAGCATCTTGCGGCGGGTGCATGTGCAGATTACATTTTGGCCGGGAGACGAGGAGAGACACAAGGTAAGTATATGGACGCGTGCACCCGCATGCAGGCACTGTGGGACAGGAAGTGCCAGCAAGGACAGAGGAGTAAGCGCTGGATCGGAAACCCGCAGCAGCGCTGGAGGGACAGATGGAAACGTCAGGAAAGAAGAAGATCAGATTAAGGAATATCATTTAAGGTAAGTGCTTACACTAACATTGGGGGGAAGGAAAAAAATCTTTGACTTTAATGTCACTTTAAGGTTTGCTGTCTCAGGAGTCAGACTGATGTGCACACTCTCAGCACATCAGCTTATCCTTATAAAACTATTATTTGACTAATACTGGCTGAGGAAACCATAGACGTACCTGCTGTTTGTTCTCTTTTGAGTATGGTAACATTGTGGAAACGTGAAACATGATTTCATGTCCTTGGTAAACAGTATAGATGGAATGCGTTCCTGTTGTATCATCTGAAAGGAAAGAGCAGGGAATAAAGAATCTGCCAAACAAGTATTTGCCCCTTACTAATTAAAACCTCCTCCATCATTCACATTTATTGATCATTCTGCCCCGAGAACCAAGAAGCAAAATAAATCGTAGGGGAACCCCTGCACCAGAGCACACAGTAGGGTTGTTAAGTCCTGTTAAGAACAGGATGAATGTGCTGTTCCCATCCATTTCTTCCAGGACAAGTCATTAAAACATGAAGTCTATGAGTACATATCTCCCCGTTGTCAACCCAGGTGCATATGTATGTACCTGCTAACATAATGAGGCTCTTACTTTTGGTGTCCAGTCCCCCCCTGTAGCCGATCCAGCTCTTTAGCGTGATGGTGTCTCCTAGCAAATTTAATAACTTCTGGAAACTTTCACTTCCAGCTTCTGGAGGAGAAAATAAGATGTGGAGTGTTGATTACATAGATAAAAATATACTTGAAACAGAAATGTCTGAACAACAGTATTATATAGTACTCTAAACTCCCTGTTATCTTACTGACAGTCTAGCTTTATTTCCAGGAGCACAACATGTTTATGACGACAATTTCAACAACAGGCAGTAAACTGCCAGGTGAGGGTGTTTGAAGAGGTGAGGTCCCAGAAACATGCTATCGTTCCTACTATAGATATCATTTTTACCTGCAACAATGTTCCACTGTGAAGCAACATCTTCTGCAATGCAACTTGAGGGTTAGCTTGAATTTCCAAAGAGTTAAAAGGATATTACCAAAAACTCAATTCACTTTGTAATATTGTGAATACCCTCCAAAATTTCAAAGAGAAAGAAAGGTATTATGTGCCAGCGCACACCCAAACCCAGTATAGCTATAATGCGAACAGCAAATAATAATGAAAATAATAAAAGTTATTAAATAGTAACAACATTTTTTTCACAACTGCAGCTGTTGTCAGTGGCTTCTGATACAAGAGCAAGATGGGAAGTAAGACTGTCAGCATAGCCTTGTAGGTTAAACAGGGATTTCAGATCTCCAAATGTAATCTGCAGGGCATAGCTGTAAATTTGACAGCCTGTCCACCTCTATCTATCAGGAGCTGCTGTCAGTGGCCCTTTACTATTGTAATCTGCATACATTGTCTGCCAGAAAGCTGGCCTGTTCCCTCTCTGTGTATCAGAAGAAATGAAAGCAGCTCCTAATTCAAGGACTAAAACCCAGCTGTCAATCTGACAGCCAAGCCCCACTAGTACAAACAGGTACTGTATATGCCTCAGGCACCAGTGCATATAAAAAAAACAGTACTGTACCAGGTAAAACCACTGGTATGGTGCAACTGTGATTTTTATGTAATTTCCACTGAAGCCAGATCAACAGGTTGAAGAAGCACATGTTGATTTTTACAGGCTGATTTTTAGGGCCATTCAAGCAATGAGGATACAATCAACCTTGGAGATTTAGCTAATGGGGAAGTATGGGGGCTATGGAAGATGGGTACCAGGATATTTCCTTGGTTGCTGAACCAAGGTCTGTGGTTTATATCAAGGTCTGTACTTGCCCTAAACATCTCATGGCACAGACAAACTTCCCAGGAACTCACCATTACTAAACATTTCATCATCTGTCAACTGTCCATCTTTGGCATAAAGAACTCCAAACTTAAAATTCACAGAGCCCTAGATGGAAGAGGAAAAGGGTGCAGGAGAAGAAGAGATGAGGGAGATAGTTAGGGAAAGGAAGAGGGCAGGAAGAAAAAGGACAGACAGAAATATAGTAGAACATAATGATGAAAATTATAATGAAGGAGAAGAGAAGACAGAAAGGCAGAGCACAGGAACAGCACAGGAAAGGAGAATGGCAGAGAGGAAGCAGAAATAAAGAGGAGAGGATAGAGAGTGGAAAAGGATAGGAAGAGGATAAGAATAAGGAAGAGGGAGAGGATGAGGAACGGAAGAAGAGGAAAAGAAGAGGAGGGGAAGAAAGAAGAAACAGAGGGGGAAGAGAAGAAGCAAGAAGAGAGATTTTATTATCCGTAAATGTCACACAGAGATCAATTCATTGATAAAGTACCCTCTTCCCATGAAATAAGAATACAGGCTTTTCCTATGACTGACTGGAGTGGACCACACAATCTCAGTTTTCAGGAAACTACAATTATTTATCTCAAATTAAAGTATCGCTTTAGATCCCGTACTGGGTTGCCAACCAAACATTTATTCTCGATGGACATGTTCCAAAAGAGTTTCGACATGACAGGTTTGCAGTCATGTTTCCAAAACAACATCAGACTGCCCACAATGATCATATTATCAATTTTGCAAGTATGATTAGTAACATTTGAGTGATGATATTATCTAATATATGTCACAGAATGGTTGGGCAGGTGGTATCACACAGAGTACCGACAAGGCACACAACCAGCCTGCAGCCTGTGTACATGTAATAGGTATCCACAATAAAAGCATCCCAGGCAGCAGTACATCAGGATATGAATAACACATATTCATATAAAGAAAAGCAAATAAATGCCTTTAACATTTGCATTTTGTCAAGGCTTTTACAAATAACCTTAAAAGAAATCTGTCATGAGAGAAATATGTATGCCACCACTGCTGGCCTCTCCTAGTTGCCTGGCTGTGATGTTGATCAGCTGGCTTTATGACATTCTAAGTCACTGATCCAGAGCAAGTATGCAGACTGGGACCTTACTAGCTGCAAGCTTGCTCCAGGTGACTGACTCAAAGTACTGAGGTCAGAGAGCCATACAACTGCAGTCTACATATTTTCCTCATGCCAAGTTCTCTTTAATTTGGCTGTTTTTAAAAAGTCCTATCAGTAAGAACACATTGGTACCCTGGCTTGGTCAATTCACACCTAAGTGTTTTGGTGTACTGTGCTGGTAGTGCTTTACAAAAAATCCTGCCTGCTGCATCTTTGATATGGTCACTAGTAACATGCATGTTCAACAGGCATGAAAATGCACCTAAAACGCAGAGGTATGAACATTCCCAAAGAAATCTCCTTTTTGCATACGAACAAATGCTCTCAAACAGCAGAATCTCCTTCTAATATGAACACTCAGAGGATCAGACATGATAAAGCATAACTTACCTCCTGCTCTTCTAGAACCAGAAGATCCTGCAGAGAGACAACACAAGCATTACTAAGATGATAACCAAGTGATATGCTCATGGACAAACAATGGGAAGGGCAGTTTTACAATCAGGGAAAGAAAGCTAGTTTACATGGAAGGGGATAACATTAGTAGACATGTGTTGCGGAGAGTATATAGAGGAACTGGAAGTTTCACACCCCGGGTTTCAAATGCGAGAAAGAAAAATTATGTTTCCACAGTGGGGTGTGCAAAGACCCAGAGGGAAAAGGAAAAAAAGGGGGCTTTTAAGAAACAAGTCCAGACCTCTTGTATAAAAATTTTAGAAATACATTTATTCAATAACTCGTAGTATACATTATTTCAGATAAAAAACAAAATACATAATCATCAATAAAAATACATATACATATGCAGGTTCACCAGTTGGTGACAATACCGTGCAGTTACGATGTATGTTGTTGCTTGTTATCAGAATGGTATAAGCACTCCTATAGGTCCCTACATGTTTCGCCCCGAAAGGGCTTCTTCAGGGGAGAAAGACAATTCTATGGTAGATATGTGTCATATGTATATCTTCACCGTCAGTTAGTCAAGGAGGCAGAGATGTAGTAAAACGCAACTGCTTCAAGTTCAAATAAAGGATTGGTTTTGTCAAACATGAACCGCCATAGGCAACGTAAGATGGAGGGATCGCGTCGGAAACAGCACCCTGTAATCCTCAGGAAACACAGGCAGCCGGCACAGTAGACTTAGAGGTTTATGGATTTCTGCTTATGCCGTGTGTAGTATTGCTGTTCCTTTCCCGGACATCTCCGGGAAATGAACAGCAATACTACACACGGTATTTTTGACAAAACCAATCCTTTATTTGAACTTGAAGCAGTTGCGTTTTACTACATCTCTGCCTCCTTGACTAACTGACGGTGAAGATATACATATGACACATATCTACCATAGAATTGTCTTTCTCCCCTGAAGAAGCCCTTTCGGGGCGAAACATGTAGGGACCTATAGGAGTGCTTATACCATTCTGATAACAAGCAACAACATACATCGTAAGTGCACGGTATTGTCACCAACTGGTGAACCTGCATATGTATATGTATTTTTATTGATGATTATGTATTTTGTTTTTTATCTGAAATAATGTATACTACGAGTTATTGAATAAATGTATTTCTAAATTTTTTATACAAGAGGTCTGGACTTGTTTCTTAAAAGCCCCCTTTTTTTCCTTTTCCCTCTGGGTCTTTGCACACCCCACTGTGGAAACATAATTTTTCTTTCTCGCATTAGTTTACATGGAAAGTTGCAAAAAAATGACTGCTCAGGTAAACCAGACATGGTGTAAAATACCCTAATCTATACTGCTGCTCACCCCCCACCTTCCCTCCACAAGCATCATCAGCATACTGCCAACATGATGCTTCAGAACTCCATCACAGTGCCTCACCTTCTGAATCTCTGGATTAAGAATCTCACGAGGACTCTTCTCAAACCTGTCCAGGTTCATGGCACTGAAACAGAAGCATCCTTAGAATTAGCCCTTCACAGCGTGGCCTGCACTGCTGACAATCAGAATACACACACTAAGATACATCACACACCAACCTGACACACAGCAAGGACATTTACCTTAATATAGATTTCACCGACAATGTTTTTGTTGGGCTATATGGAAGGCAGATTTTCTGTGTACCCTGACATACAAAGGAAAGCACATCAGATCTTTAATAAAGAGATTTTATAACCACAAAATGAGACTGTCATTTCAAATGCAGAAAAAGTATCATTCATTGCAGTGTCGAATGTGTCTAGTTGCTCCACTGTCTATAAATTTGCTCCTTTTTCACAGGACTTTTTCCCCTTCCAGTGATTTAAATATGACCACACATCCTACAATCTGACTTTCCAACACTGTTAGCTTGCCCGGGTGATGGTAGGAATTAGATGGATTATCGAGGAGCTTCAAAATTCGTTGGAGCAGAGGCTCCACCCCTAAATATCACAGTGTGCCTCTTCCAGCTGCACACTAAAATTCCTTAACACACAGACAGCAGGAACACACACAGCATTCACCTGCTGACACAAAACCCAGAGGTCCATCAAGTCTTCACGTGTACCATCTGTCAGAAGAAAGACAGAAGGCGGTACAGTGCCCAACACATACTGGGATAACAATCAGTCTGGGTAAACATCTCACACACGGGCTGACAGCAGCAACAAATGTCAGAAGACTTGTAACTCTGCCGCTAAATATTATAACATTTTGTCATCAATGGAAAGTAGGAACTGACAGTCTGCGATATATGTTAAACATCAGTGATAGAATATGCCACCATTATTCCACTTACTGTTTTCCGCCATAAGATTGCACGGTACTGCGGTATGCGCTGGTTGTTTTGGTCGGAGAGGACCACAGATAGGAAAAATGGGTTCCGTTCTGCATCAGTTCCTATGTAGTTCTGGTGAACTGTTCAATGACATTAAGGCACCACAAGTGAACAAATCACAGAAATTTCTACTTATCCTGTGAGGTTTAAAGGAAGGACATTATACTATAATCTGCAATCTGCACATCATTAGTCATTAGATAGATGACTGTCTGCTCTTTTTGTATATTACCACAACTGATTAATACACACAAATATACATTGCAATGCAAAAGTGTTTTTCCTATTTTCTTTCATTACAACCTGAAATTAAAATTAATTTTTGGGGGCATTTATACTATGTGATGTAAACAACATGCACTTGCATGTGCAAAATATTTTTTATTGTGGCGCAAGCAATAATTAAGACAAAAAAAAGCAGAAACCTGGATTGTGCATAAGTATCCAACCCCCAAAAGTCAATACTTTGTAGAGCTACCATTTGCTGCAGTTACCGCTGCAAGTCTCTTTGGGTACGTCTCTATTAGCTTAGCGCATCTAGTCACCGGGATTTGTGCCCATTCGTCAAGGCAAAACTGCTCCAGCTCCTTCAAGTTAGATGGGTTGCATTGGTGTTCAGCAATCATCAAGTCATGCCACAGACTCTTTGTTGGATTAAGGTGTCGGCTTTAACTAGGCCATTCCAAGACATTTATATGTTTCCCTTTAAACCACTCCAGGGTAGCTTTAGCAGTATGTTTAGGGTCATTGTCCTGCTGGAAGGTGAACCTCCATCCCTGTCTCAAATCTGTGGCAGATTGAAACTGGTTTTCTTCAAAAACTGCTCTGTATTTAGCGCCATCCGTTTTTCCTTCAATCCTGACCAGTTTTCCATACCCTGCCGATGATAAGGATCCCCACAGCATAATGCTGTCACCAAGATGATGTTGTCAGGGTGATGGGAAATTTTGGGTTTGCACCACACATACCGGGTTATTCACAAAAGGGTGAAGTGTTTGGAGAAGACAGGATAAGTGAACAATCTAGGACAAAATAGCTGATTTGGAAAAATTCTCCAATTCAGTCCCTGTCCAGCTATGTTGTCCTAGATTGTTCCCTTCTCCTGGCTTCTCCAAACTCTTCTCCCTTTCTGAATAACCCTGATAAGTGTTTCCCATGATAAACAAAAAGTAACATTTTAGTTTCGTCTGACCTGAGAATTTCTTCTTTGAGGTTGGGGAGTCTGCCACATGCTGTTTGGTGAACTCCAAAGTTGCATTTCTATTCTTTTGTTTTAGCAAAAGCTTTTTTCTGGCCACTCTTCCATTAAGCCCCACTCTATGGAGTGAATGACCTACAGTGGTCCTATGGACAGATACTCCTCTCTCCACTGTGGATCTTTGCAGGTCCTTCAGTGTTACCTTTGAGGTTTCTGTTGCATCTCTGATTAATGTCCTTCTTCCCCGGTTTGTGAGTAATGGAGACCTCTTGTCAGGCTTGTACTTGCGCCATATTTAATTGTGCTCCGAGGGATATTCACAGTTGGGATATTTTTTTTTTAAACCCAACACTGATCTATAATTCCCCACAACTTTGTATTTGACCAGTTTGGAGAGCTTCTCACGGGCCTTTCAGAAACAGGTGTATTTATACTGACATCATGGGACACTTTAATTGCACCTTTATCAACCGATTATGGGACTTCTGAAGTTAAATGGTTGGCCCACACCTTGTTAAACTATGAGGTGAGTGCTTTTCACTCATCCTCATAGTTCTAGCCGACCTGTGACAAATGAAACTGTCACGGGTCTGCTCAGTAGATCGGGAAGTGAGCGTACACATACCGGCGTTCGCTCACTTCTCGATCCTGTCACGGCAGAGAGCCATGACAGGGGAGGGGCTGGATTCCCCCTCCGATCCTCCAGCACTGTCTGGCGGAACGGATGGGGGAGGGGGCGGGTACAGCTGGCTCTGCCTCTACATAGGCGGAGCCAGCTGTCAATCACGCAGCTGGGCGCATCCAGACATAATTGTCGAGATCCGCTTCAGCTGCGGCCTCTCAGTATAGCGCGAGCAGTAGCTTGCGGTATACTGAGCTTAGGGTAACGGGAGGACGCTAGTTTGTGCCCTCCAGTTACCATTAGGAGAACTATGTGGAAAAGCCCTAACCCCATAGTTCTCCTTTTTTTTTTAGATAATCACCCCCGGTCTGCAGAGCTCAGCCGTTTAGCTGCCACTCGCCGCCATGCTCCCATAGTTCTCCTTTAAGGGGTTTCTTAGCAAAGGGGTGAACATTATGCACCATCAAGATTTATGTTTTATTTTGTCTAAATTATTGTTTGTGTGAAAATAGAAATATTTTTGCACATACAAAGTGGGAAGCAAGTTGTGTACATCACATGGTAGAAACCACCCAAAAATATATATTAATTCTAGGATGTAATGTAGAAAAACACCAGAGGGGGGGCGCAAAATAGATATACCTTTCCCGAGGAAATATTTGAAGTACCACCGTGTGTGATACTCTGGGTTTTCCAGATGTACGTCCGTTCTCCTCCATATACCCGGTGTGTACTCTGTATTCTATAACACACAAAAAGACACGGTTCACAGCCAGAGATCACATTATGCATTTTGCGGCCCTCGAAGATACACCTCTGTTAGCAACAGAAGCAATGTAGATAATGATATATTTTGTAAACTGAGCAATATGAACAATGATAGATATTCTGAACAGAACAATACAAGTAACAAGCAACGCAAAACAGGAAGCAGTATAGTTTATATATGGTACTAGAATGAAGACAGACTAAACAGCCTTCGAGAACAAACAGTAGCAAGATATCAGTAAAAACTTCATTTTTTAAAATTGTTAAATAACAATAATACAAGTGCTTTGAGTTAAAGGGAAATAGTGATGTTTCAGGCACTAGGTGACTTTACATTGGATGCTAAATTATCCAGCAGAATAAAGATCATCACCAGATGTATGGCATTGCATGTGCTTCTTTCTAATGCACTCTCACAAACATAAAAATGTCTCCTCACTAATTTCACTGCCCTAATGGATTTACATCACAAACAATACAATTCCAAGATATCAAAGAAGAAGATAAAACAGGCCGAAAATGTATTGGTCTATTTCATCATATGACATAGTTCTCCACAAAGCAAAGAGCATTATCCGACACCAGGACTCTTATCAGTGAGATTACAGGAAGGAGCGCCATCTATAGCCTTCTCCTCAATGTCATAATATGATTGCAATATGGTACTCTTTAAAGTTGTACTCCAAACAAATATAAATATTTATTAAAAACATGAAATGTAAATTATAGAATGTGAATAAAGTTCATCTCTTTATAATCCCATGCACAGCCTGGGAGAGGGAGGGTCAGCGCTAGGGGACGATTAGGTGCTCTGCATAAACGTATGTGTAATATGCAGACAGGAGTGGAGAATAGATATGATCTTATGTGTCTTTTGCTGCTCCTTCATTGACCATTTACTGAATGTGAGCAGAGGAGTGACCTAGCTGTGTTGCTTAACTGCAATAGAGAAAAGTGAGGTCACAACAATGGCTGTGCTGTCTGTTTGGGTTATATAAATCTCAGGATTGGGATTTCAGAAATCCATATACTTTGCCAGGTAAAGCAGCTCACATACAGTATATGTATTTCAACTAGTGATGCACCGATACCGATACTAGTATCGATATCGGTGCCGATTCCAAGTATTTGGGCAAGTACTCGTACTCGCCCAAATGCTCCGATGCCTAGCATGAGTACTTCCGGTATCAGGAAGCCGGGCAGCGCGTCTTTACACGCTGCCCGGTTTCGTGATTGACCGGGAAGCGGTTCCATGCTCTCTCGTCACTTGTAATGAGAGAGCATGGAGCCGTTTTTCCGGCCAATCAGGAAGCCGGGCAGCGTGTGATGACGCGCTGCCTGGCTTCCTTATTAGTCGGGAAGCTGGCCAATCAGGAAGCTGGCCTCGTGAGGTAAGGTTACCTGACCTTAGTATGTGCAGCCTGTCACACAACTATACATTTAACTGTTTGCCTGGAGTTTAGCTTTACCATTCTAAGTGCTCTTCTCCCAGTATAGACTCACTGGCCACTTTATTAGGTACACCTTGCTACTACCGGATTGGACCCCCTTTTGTCTTCAGAACTGCTTTAAATCTTCGTGGCATTGATTCAACAAGGTGATGGAAACATTCCTTAGAGAGTTTGGTCCATACTGACATGATAGCATCACACAGTTGCTGCAGATTTGTTGGCTGCACATCCATGATGCGAAGCTCCACTAGCCTGGACCGTTGATACAGGGCAGAATGAATCCATGCTTTCATATTGTTTACATCAAATTTTGACTCGACCATCTGAATGTCGCAACAGAAATCAAAACTCATCAGACCAGGCAACGTTTTTCCAATCTTCTATTTTACAATTTTGGTGAGCCCTTGCAAACTGTAGCCTCAGTTTCCTGTTCTTAGCTGCCAGAAGTGGCACTAAGTGTGGTCTTCTGTGGCTAGCCCGTCTGGTTCAAGGTTCAATGAGTGGTGTGTTCAGAGATGCTCTTTTGCCTACCTCGGATGGTGTGTTCAGAGATGCTCTTTTGCCTACCTCGGATGTAACGAGTGGTTATTTGTGTTACTGTTGCCTATCAGCTTGAACCAGTCTGGCCATTCTCCTCTGGCCTCTGGCATCAGCAAGCTATTCTTGCCCAGAGAGCTGCCGCTCACTGCATATTTTCTCTTTTTCAGATCATTCTCTGTCAACCCGAGAGATGGTTGTGTATGAAAATCCCAGTAGATCCTCAGTTGCTGAAATACTCAAACCAGCCCGTCTGGCACCAAGAACCATGGCCCATTCAAAATCACTTAAATCAGCGTTCTTTCCCATTCTGATGCTCGTTTTGAACTTCAGCAGACCATCTTGACCATGTCTACATGCCTAAATGTATTGAGTTATTGCAATGAAATTGGTTAATTAGATATTTGTGTTAACGAGCAGTTGAAGAGGAGTACCTAATAAAGTGGCCAGTGAGTGTATATGTATGCACAGAACTGCCAGAGAGCCTTAGTTTGGATTATTATCTGAATTCCTCACCTCTTTCACTGGAAATACTGCTAGCCAGAACACACTCCGGCAACACAGCACTAATCCAGAATTAATCAGAGAGAGAAAAAGGTTATTTTATTGCAGTGGTCACTGTCTTGCCTTGAGGAAGGGACCTTGTGCGGTTCTGCACGGTGCCATCCATGGTGGTCATTTCAAGCACCTACACTAAAATGACTGAAAGTAAAACTCAGAGAAGGCAGATGTCACCAGAGCCTCGGATGATGGAAAAACGAGGACAGCAGAAAACAGAGGTGGACAGACAGAATTGCCAAAGCCATGAAGACAACAAAAACACAATTCAATAATACAGATTTGACACCTTGTTAAATATCACGTTATACATGAATGTAAACACATGCCATCTGTAGCTGTCATGGCTGCAGGCAGGGCTGGGACAAATGGGGAAGGGGACATGAAGGACAGTCACCCCAGGCACAGTGTTTTCATGTGGATGGGCTGAGGGGTGTTGGGGGAGGGAGGGTGCCATATCGACCCTGCACCCTCTTCACATGTACCGTCCTTGACGACAGTTGCGTTCCTGCGGGACAGGGGAATCCGCACCAGTTACCACCACATACAGTACATAATTAGTATACTGGTGACCAACCCCCTACTAATTGCTACTGTTAAACATGGCCAACAATGGGGTGTAGTATGTAGAAGTGACTAATCGCTATTCGCAGCACAATTATCCAAATTTGCACAACTGATTGCTTTTATATGCTGAACTCCATTGTTGCCTATGCATAGCAATCTCTAGCGATTAGTAGCTTGTTATTGCAGTTCCTGCTCCCTGCTCCACTTCTCAACTCTCTGGGGAGCAGCAACATGTCTGGATGGTAAATGCCTGCTTATGGTCAGACAATGTCCTCACTGTATGAATAAGGCTGGGCTGGGTGCCACCTATACATGTCACCCTGCTACCAGCCATGACACTTGGGGGTGGCTTACCTTACGTGTCTGGGCTGTGCTGGGCTTCAGGGGAACCTGAATAACCCCGTGTCAGTGAGGAGTCCAGCATACCCTATTCTGTTCTTTCTTCTGTACTGGGGGTCACAGGGATACCACACATACACACACACAATGTCCTGCCTGGCCCTCTCTCACCTATAAACTGGAAACTCATCTCTCCCACTGACCACACACACACTAAACTTGACTATTGTCATGCTCAGCACTCTTCACCGTATGTCATGGGTTACATGATGGAAATCCTACTTCATTCCTTAACTTTAATATGAGCTTGAAATAAAAACCGGCCGATGCCACACAGCAGTTCCACAACTTCACTGGGCACTTCCAGGTCCACTGGAAACCTGATTTGTGGACCCAGAGATGTGCAGGGATGCTGACACTAGAGTGGTAGCAGCTGGGAGTGGGATACCAGCTGTAGAAGATGCTTTGCCGGGCGAAAACATCGGTTGGGGGGAGATATTTGGGGGAGAGCAGTTGTCTTTGCCCTAGGCACTGGATGATCTTGTCCTAGCACTGGTTGCAGGAAACCTTTAATTAACAGGGAGTCCAAATAAAAAGCCACATAATGTACATCCCTGAGATCTATCCATCAATCTATTTAAAGACATAAAAATGGAAGAAACAGAAAGATATTTGTTGCCTTCTTACCTCGTCTGATGATCCGTTCTCCACCCGGAATCGCCCCGCTCTCTGGATGGCTCCATCCGCATCACTGGAAATCAGCTGCGAAGAATAGCAACGTAAGAATATAAATTAAAGAGGATTGACACATGTAAGAGCTGCTGTTATCATGGTGAACAGTGAGATCGGATATAATGTATATTAACAGTGGAAGTCTGCATTATATGTACAGTCTGTAAAGTGTCTATAAAAGTGGTTCATGGTTCAGCCCATATATTGCCAGATGGGAGAATCATCCTGCCTGGAAGAAATTTGGTCATATGTACTTAAATGAGATGTTTGTCTGGCCTGTAAAATCTATTTATTGGAGTACATCACAGGCCACAATTAGATAATTCTTCAACAGATGGGTTTTACAGCTACCTTGAATTGATTAGACACTGGCAAACCAATGAAAGATGTAATATAGCTTTGTATAACCCCTCCCACTCCTAGCTTGCCTTAAATTTGCCACAAGCAGCAGAATATTATAGAAACTAGAGGGGAGGGTCCTGTGTCCTGTGATTTACTCCAAGAAACAGATTTTACAGGTTCGACAAAAATCCTGTTTTCTTGATCGTATCTCACAAGACACTTCAACGAATGGGATACCTAAAAGCAGTCCAAATGAGGGGCGGGCAACACAGCAACCGGGGGCTAACAGGGCAATGAGACAACAACTAACCCCAACAGGGAACCATAATAGAAGATTTGGGATACTAAAGCCAGATGCTGGACAGCCCAAGAAGCACTAACGCTCTTAGTAGAGTAAGCCATTGTCTCATGGGGGGTACTTTACCCTTCAAATCACAGGCCTGAGAGATAGTTTGCCAAATCCACCTAGCGACAGTGGAGCAAGAAGTTGGTTGCTCCATATGGGTACCCCCAGGAATGACAAAATTGGAGTCAGACTTGCAGATGGAAGCTAAAGCAGAGAGGTAAACCCAACAGCTCTGAGGGGTCCAAAGGGCAGCTTCCGCATTGCTGACAGGGCTAAGTTAAGGTCCCACCAAGTCTTTAAAGTGAGCACAGAGGGGACAATGTTAGGAACCCGCCGCACAAAGGCCTTCACAAGTGAAGGAGAGGTAAGTGGCCTCTGAAAAAGTATCAGCAAGGCAGATATTTGACCCTTAATAGTACTCAAGGCTAAACACTGGTCTAGGCCAGACTAGAGGAAAGATAAAATGCACCCCACTGAGTACTTCCTAGGATGGAACTTCTTTGCTTTGCGCCAAGAGAAATGAGCCTTCCAGGTGTTATGGTAGACCTTGCAAGAGGCCGACTTCTGTGCTTTCAGAAGAGTAGGGATAACAGCTTCCCAAAGACCTCTGTTCAAGGTATAGCCTTCAACAGCTATGCCGTTAAAGCCAGCGACAGAGGAGCAGGGTGGAATTGAGAGCCTGGCTGGCTTTAAATCCACAGGCTTCGGAGGGACAACCAATCATGCTCAGTGTTAGTGCAAGGGGCAGAATAGCAAAAAAAATGCCTGATTAGCCGTGTTTTCTCTTTGCTTTAGTCATCAAAAACCACAGCAATATGACTGGAGGTAGTATGATTTCCAGAGGGAGAAATTCACTCCGGTCACATTACCCCTGCATCCAATTAGTGTCATGGTACTGTGAAAGGAACACCGGTATGCTAAGATAATTACTTTTTGTGTTATTAATTGAACGTCAAAACATTTATGGGGTTTTTTGGTAAGGCTGACAGTAAATTTTAGCGAAGGCACATCATTACAATAATAAAATAAGCAGTATCCCTAATATCTTTCACTGTATATCCCAAGCTATGAAACACACAGACGAGTATCAAAACAGAAAATTATAGTTATATCAAATATAGCTGGCAGAATAATCAAAGAAATGTAAGGGAGTCAGTGCAGGTAGAGAAAAGTGCTGTATTACTGGTCCAATCAGCTTTTTTGGAAAGGGGGGTGTTACGGTGAATAGGTAAATACGTAAAATATTTCACGTATAATAGAAAATTAAGGATTGCCGAAATATTAGCGTAGAGGGTAGATGATAACTCTGTAAACACTAATGTATCCCTAGTGATCGCATTTAATGGTACCAGGTACAATTATCTGCGGCTCAGGAGAGATACTTATCCCAGGATGCAGAGAGCCTGTGTCCTGGGACAAGCATCTCTCGCAAACCGAAGGTAATCTTACCATGTACAATCACAGTCAGACAACCACGGACAGATGTGGCCGTTGTCACCCTGTCATGAACTTAAATGGGCACAACAACCACATCTGTATAGACACACCTGGGATTTCTGCTGCAAGAAACCACAGGTTCTTGCCACAGGAATCCCCAGATGCCTGTGTGCATAAGGTCTTATTGTGTCTGACTTTACCTGATCACAAAGTAGATGTAAACCACAACTGAATGACATTTATTTTGCTAAACCACTGTGTATCCTAAACAACTGCAATTTCTTTTTTAAAGAAAATACTTTTTCACCTTTTTTAAACTAAGTGCTTCTAATCTCCTGCAGCCTCTTCACAGCCACTTCCTGTCTACATGCACGCACTCCAGCGATGGCTGCTTTCATTGTTCAAGGGGGATAGGGGGGCAGGCATTACTTAAAGTGACATTAAACCCTCAGATTTTTTAACATAAAACAATACTGTAATGTGTGCCTTACTGTAATCCATGGTAGTTTCCCTTCTCTTTGCTGCTCTTCCTTTTAAATCTGTATCTCTTCTCATGCTGGGCAGAACTTCTGTTTTGCAGCAGACTGCCTTGTCTCAGGAATGGATATATGGTGTCTGTGTATACCTTTCTATAGGCTTGTAACCTGAGCCAGCACTACAGGAAGAGGCCCTGAGCTGAAAAGGGAAGTTCTCCCCAAGCATGAGAAGACATGAGGATTTAAAAGGAAGAGCAGCAAAGATAAGGGAAACAACCATGGATTACCGTAAGGGACACATTACAATATTGGTTTATGTTAAAAAATCTGAGGGTTTAATGTCACTTTAAATGAAAGCTGAACATTTTTAAAATATTGGAAAATACTTTTAAAATTACATTAACGTGTTCATCTATATGTGATTTCAGTGACTGCATTTATAGGGGGGGCAGAGGTCACCTCAAGTCTGCAGCTCCTGACCGTTAACTGCATGACCTCACATGCTGCAAACATAGAAGCTGGGAGACAGCTCATTAGCAGAAGACAGTTGAGAAACTTCAGGTAGATTTTTAAATGTGCAGAAAATATATCTAGATTGTCTCTTTCTCCATCACTATCCCATTAGCCATTGAAATGGGAAGTCCCAATATGTCGCCAAAGGTATTTACTATTCAGGCATGAGGCGCCATATGCAAGCAGCTTCCACACTGAGCGCTGGACATCTGCATGTGGTGCCTAGAGGGGTAAGACTACACATGACATGATTATCCCCCAGTTTCTTGTATTATAATTCATTTCCAGTAGATGTGTCTGTCATTATTGTACATGGCAGAGTGACACTAATATGAAGGACCTATTATCCAGAATGTTCTGAGATAGCGGAAACCTCCCTCATACTCCAGGTATAAATCTTAGCATGTGCTATCTAAATGTAGCAGAGCTGAAGACTTTGTATCGCTGCATTTATAAATAGGGAAGGTGAGAAGTGAGGACAGTAATACCGCTTGCTAATGTTACAACTGTATTTTTCAGGCGCCATTTTGAATCCACACAAAATGCTGTTGTTTACTGGACTATAAAATGGCTGCCGCGGTATTTTGCGCTGAGGACACATAGAACAAAATTACACCAGTAAAACAATTATTTTATAATAAGCCACTAACAAGCCTGGTAAGCCTCATGGAGTAAATATTTTTCCTTCCAAATTCTTCCAGGATGGAGGGAAAATGTAATTGTCTTTAATCAGAGTAATTACCCTAATAGAGCATAATGTAAGCTGGATTATTATTTCACCCCCCACCTCAAACCTTCCGGAACACAGAAAACTTTGATAATAGAATCTGTTGCATCTGGTCTCTGTCACAGCGACACCAACCAATTCCAAACCAACACAGTACAGTTATACCATGCCCAAACATTTCACATTCCTATTGTACATAAGCTGGTATTTGTGTATCATCCCTATACCCAACCTATATGCTGTGTAATATACATAAATACCTCTATTTCATACAGTGGTAACAAAAACTATCACCAAACCGACATAGTACACCTACACAAAATCTAAAGATCCTACATATATTGTTTATACCAGCAATCATATCTGTATCACCTATATACTGTATATAACCTATATGCTACAGTTGGTACATAACCAGCACTGGAAGCAATATGCCATCTGTACTATACGTAGAGCTTGTCCTAACTGTACAGCCCATCATTTAGGACAAAATGGACAAAATGGTCTTTGAACCACAGAGAGCCTTTTAACTCCTCTTAGTAGACCATGAATGACCATCCTCTTCTGTTCCACTTATGACTTTACTGTCAAGTATCGAAAGATAGCCAAAAAAGACACATGATAAACAAATGGTAAATACTGGACTTTAGTGCTGACCCTTAATCCATGACAAAATTGGTTAAGCAATCCAAATAATTTATTCATGTCAAAGAGACTAACAGGGTTTGCTCCTGCGGCATACCTCCTCCACCTGACACCGCTACCGAGGAAAACCTACAAAAGATCCTTACTGATCCACCTACTGAATGCGGCTCGGGCATGCATCCCGGCACTGTGGAGGCAGGCCCGCCCGCCCTCAGTGGAGATGTGGGTGAAAAGAGTGGAGGAGATCCGGCTGATGGAGGATCTGACATCCTCAATCCGTAAGACCCAAAATAAATTTGTCGCTACCTGGGCAGCTTGGTACTTGTTCAGAGATTCCTCAGCGTTTCCCCAGGGCAGTCAAAAGTTATATGTATACATATATATGTAACAGATGTTTGCGCGGTCCTGTGTATGTACTCTTATGTTTGCAGAAATAAAGAATTTGGAAAAAAAAAGAGACTAACAGGGTTATTCACTAAAGAGTTTGGAGAAGGCAGAAGTGAATAATCTAGGACATCATAGCTGAACTGGAAAGTGAGCTAAA